CACTCTGGTCACCTACCTGGATGACTGCTATCTGGACTTTACTGGACCAGGTGATACAAAATATAGTGTAATTCTAGGGTTCTGCTTATCCCTTAGGGAGGCATGGAGGCCTGCTCATTATGTCTTTATTTTGAGGCCTGGCCTTTGACAATTGCACCTCCAGACACAAGTTTAATGTCTTTATTTTTCTGCTGACTTCCTCGAAAGACCAGTCCCCTTCTGAGTTAATTTCTTTCTAACTTAGCTACCTGTAATAAGGGGAGCAGGCTGGTACCTCCTTTGTGTGTGTGTGCAAATCATATATATCAGAAAGTTAATTCTCAAAGAGTAAAGAGGTAGAGCCTAGGTCTCTTAAGTGCTTTAGAACCTCATACTTAGCTGTAAAATAAAACATTGGCTTGTAAGATCTCTAGGGGTCCTTTCAGCTTTAAGGCTCAGTTTTTCTTTCTAGTCCTCTGACTGTTGGCTTTCCCGCCTCACACATAAGAAAGCTGAGGGCAGAAGAGTTGAAGTGTCTTCTTCACGTCCACGCGGCTGCTTCCTGACAGCATGGGGGCCACAGCCTGGTGTTGGGTGATTGTTTCAAGTAACTCATTGTCCATACCTGGCTCTGTTTTCACACGCAGCTGATTTTAGTTATTTACTTTGTCATGATCATCCCTGTGACACATTTTGAGCAGTGCAGTCTGAAACTTATGTAAAACTCTTCATAGCTTATGATCCATTTTGACCTCCATTTCCTCCCTTTGCTTCCCAGTCATTCAGTGAGGTGGGTGGGCTCCCCACTGTACCATGCAGATGGGGACTCAGGCTTTACTAATGCTGTTCCGTGGTAGAGCAGGGGCCCACAGTGGTCTCCTGACTCCTCCTTCAAAGCTCTCACTATCATTTCATGCTGCCACTCTCCCCAGAGCATCCAGGCCTGGCCACAGAGCTGTCCCTTTGGTTAGTATTCTTGGTATAAGTCCCTTATTGATCAGGAAGATGGCTTTTGGTATACATATATATATATATTTTTTTTTTAATTTTGCCTTTATATTGTTACTCTTTTTATAATATAGAAGATGGATGCTTTCCATTTTTTTACAGAAGCAAATTAGGCATTAGAAATCCTTTGAAGTCAGGTATGGTAGCACACACCTATAATGCCAGCAATCGGGAGGCTGGGGCAGGAGTATTACTGCTAGTTTGAGGCCAGTCTTTATTACAAAATTGAGACCCTGTCTCAAAAAAAAAACAAAAAACACAGGCAAGGGAAGTAGTTGTTCTTTGAAACCGTGGTGTGATAGCTTATGTAAGTGTAGTCCCAGCTACTTGGGCAACTGAGAAGGATCACCTGAATGCAAGAGTTTGAAGGCAGCCTGGGCAACATAGTGAGACCCTGTTTCTCTCTCTCTCTCTCTCTCTCTCTCTCTCTCTCTCTCTCATACCCACACACAACCAAAAAACCCAACTCCTTTGACTAAGTTTCCTCTGTGTAATTAGGACTCAGGTCTCGGCTCCAGGTTTGCTGTGCTTCTGCCCATGCACACATGGTCACAGCTCTGGCCTCCACAGTGCCACAACTGCATGGTGGGCCAAGCTCTGCAACAAAATGCAGAAAACTCAGATTCTGGGCCCAGCTCTGTCTCGCCATACTTTTGTACACTTGAGCAGGCTTCTTCTTTCATGAATACTCTATAAAATGAAGGGGCTGGGTCATACTCTGTCAGGGCTATACTGTTGTTTTTGTTTTGTTTTGTTTTTCCTTATGGTACTAAGGATTGAAACCAGGACCCTCACAATGAGCTGAATCCTTAGTCCAGTTTTCTATTTTTTATTTTGAGACAGGGTCTTGCTAAGTTGTTCAGACTAGGCTCAAACTTTTGGTCCTCCTGCCTCAGCCTCCTAGAATATTGGGATTCCCAGCTTAGGGTGGATCTTTTAGACTCTCAGATCATTTATTAAGAAAATTGTCACTACATGTTACTTTTTAGAAGTGTCAGTGCAAAAACTTAGGCATTTTATGTTCTGAGAATATACCCTTTAGACCATGATGGAGGTTGCAGGCAGACAGGACTGCTGCTGTCAGTGTGTGGGTGCAGGACTGCTAACGGATTGTTTCCACAAAGCCTCATTTTTCATGGCCCAAGGACTTTGGCATCCTGTACTTCATGATGTCATGCACATCTTAGATAATCAGGGTGCTTCTATACAGCGAGCCAGTCGACTTGTTTCTTCCAAAATCTGGCATGAGTGTAAGTCTCTCTGTTTGGGCAACAGGTGTTTTTCCTGGAAAATGATGACCAGCATAACAGCCTGAGTGACCCTGCAGACCACAGCAGACTGACCGAACATGTCGCCAAGGCTTTTTGCCTTGCTCTCTGTCCCCACCTGAAGCTTCTAAAGGAAGATGGCATGACAAAACTGGGACTGCGTGTAACACTTGACTCAGATCAGGTAAAGAAGGTCTTAGGTTGAAGTGGCCTTGGGGAGTGTCTATATTTTCTGCAGTGTCAGTTTTTCTGAATCGACCCAGAGCTTAGCTCCATAGACCTTCTGGCCTGAGCAGATGGAGCATTCTCATCCTCCCTCTCATAGTAGTAATACACCCAGACATGCCACTTAGTCAGGTGCATTCAAAGCTGTTTTAACAGTGGCCTCTTTACCTGCCTAGCTTCCAAGGAGTTGCTTTTCTTCTTCCTGTGGGGGTGAGGACATGTGAGAACCTGATGTCACCCGTGACTGGCGCCTGCACTGCCCTCTAGCACTCCCTTAGCAGGCAGGTCCCATGGGGTCTTTTTTTCTTTTTTTGGTTTGGTTTTTTGAAACAGGATCTTGCTATGTAGTTCAGGCTGCCCTTTATCTATTTAGCTCAAACTGGCCTCGAATTCTCAGTAATCCTCCTGCCTCAAGCCTCCCAGGGGCTGGGATTGCAGGCATGTGCCACCATGACAGGCTGTAATCTTATTTCCTTAATCCTAATGAAGCAGGCTTTTGATAATTGGACTTTACAGCTGTCCATACCTTAGTAAGGTTGCTCTGACAGCATTCCTATGCTAGTTAGTGGCTAGGAATTGAACATTTCTTTAAAACAGTAATTGTCCTGTCAGTTCATCTCCTATTGCTAAGCTTCCCTGTCTTAATGTTTTTATATGCTCTTTGTAAGACCAATCCAATCTTCATTACCCAAGCTCAGTTCCTTTCCTAGTTTCTCCCTGTGGCCAAGCACTCTTTATCTCTCTACATTTCTTTTGGATTCTAGATGCCTTCAGCAGGTCCTCTTGGTCCTGCTTTGATGCTTACAAATTGCCAGGTATCTCTTCTTCAACCCTTTAGCTTTGAGTCTTTAGAAAGTGAGCATGGGCACTCAACTTGACTATGCCTTCTAGCTAATCATCAATTCTTCCCAAAATGCTGCTCGTGGCCTGAATGCTTACAGGGAGACACTGGTTCCCAAGTGCAGAACTGTGCTGTCAATGAATGAAAGTTATGTGTCTGGCTGTACTTCCTGACAAGTCATCAACCAACAAGTATTTCTTTTCTACTTACGACCTTGCCCAGTGTTTTAGGAAGCATATTAGGCTACTACCAATGAAGCAACATGGTCTTCTCTCAAAAGGTACCGATAATGGAGCTGGAGAGCAAACTCTCTCAATGCACGTAGAGAACAAGTATTTTTCTGTGAAATTTATGGGTTTCTTGAGGTCAGAAGCCCTGTTATCTTTGAGTCCCTGTGTTTGTAGGTGCTCAGAAAAAGGTGCATGGATGACTAGATGGGCTGAAGAATACATGCTATGTTAGGAAGCTGTACATTGTACATTCCTCATAACAATCAAAGATTAAAGTATTATTTCTGACTCTTTATACCTCCCTATGGACCCCCCAACCCCTTTCCAAGAAAACAAAGACCTTAACAAGGTAAGTGACTAGCCCAAGGTCTCATGGTTATGAAGTGTCCAGGATGAATAAATGACAGGATACAGTATAATTCAGAGAAGAGGAACTTGTATCCACCATCGCATGTCTAACCACGACCAGCAAGAACATTGTTTTTTCTATTGAATCTCCTTGACTCTTGACCCTCTGGAGTGATCTCTGCCTAGTAACCTGTCATCCCCTTCTCTCTGTGGTATAGGTTGGCTATCAAGCAGGGAGCAATTGCCAGCCCCTTCCCTCACAGTACATGAACGATCTGGACAGCGCCTTGGTGCCCGTGATCCATGGAGGGGCCTGCCAGCTCAGTGAGGGCCCCGTCGTCATGGAACTCATCTTTTATATTCTGGAAAACATCGCATAGACAGGACTTCATTTTTTTGTTTCAACCTGTTGCAACAGCAGTCATACCCAAGTCTTTTGCACTTTAAAACTGGAAGATTAAGCTTTTGTTAACACTATTAATGGGGGGAGGGTGGAATTGGGTGGGAATGGGGTTTGGGGGGACAAGGGTGGGAAAGGGTGGTTGGGGGAACAAATGTTCCGCAATTCTATGTCTTCTATGCATCATCCACCAAGAAGACCTGGACAGCTTCTGTTACTGCACAACAGCTATGCTATCTTTGCAGCTAATCCCCTTCTGTTACTGTCTAGACAAGAATTCTGCTTTCTTTTAAGATTACGATGGTCATGTGCTCAGAAATGCTCAAATGGGTACAACCACCAAGGGTGGGGTTGGCAGGCAAAGGAAAAATAAACCATGAAATATCAGTTTTGCACTCTGTACAGAATTGGTATAAAAAGGACAACTCCACATAGATCTTGTCCCAGTTATATCACAGCTGTTTACCAAGTAGAAGTCACATTTAGATTGTTTGTTTTTACCAGATTACTCGAAGTGAATCAAAGACCAAAGGGAGCCATGTAGCCATGGAGGACCTCTACGTGGTCATGGAAGCAGCTCAGTGTAAGTGAAGTCATTTGGATAGTGAGATCTGTCCAAGTGAATGGCAGGTATTAAACTGGGACTGTGTGAAAACTGACAAAAGACACCCAAGACATTTTAAGTTACTATGTACTAGAGATATTTTTAAAAACATTTTATTGGGAAATCATTTAAACTTCCAGGAAAGCTGCAAGTCCAAAAACCCCTCACTATGTACTCTTCATCTAGATTCACTTATTGTTCACATATTCACATTTTTCCCATGTGATTTTTCTCCCTACCCATATAAAAAAGTGAAGCATTGAAGCTGCATATATCATAGCCCTTTACCTCTATTTTCCTGTCTATATGAACAGCCTTACATAACTGCAGAACAGTTCTCAACGTTAGTCAAGTTCACATTGATAACATATTTTAACCTGGTGTCTATTATGTTCTTTGTAGCATTCCCTGTGCCCCCAGCAAACCTAGCCTAGAAGCAGACACAACATGTAGCTATCATGACTTGCCTTTATTATTTGTCATTGGTATCTTTTGAGAGTATAGGCCTTCCCCATCTTTGTATTAGAAAAAATACCTCATTTTAAGTTTGATGTTTAGAATCAGTTTATGCATTCTTGGCCAGAATCACTTGATCTCTGCCTCTGCATTAAGGTGATAACTCTGATAACCTGGTCAAGGTGTTGTCTAATTTCTCCACTATACTGCCCCTGAAATAATAACCAATATATGTAAAGACATTTTCAGACCATGCAAAGATCTTGCTCATCAAAATATCCCCCTTAGATTTAGCATACACTGACGTTTCATACCTGTACTGATATTATACCACACTTGCAAAATAATTTTCCAACTCCAGAACTCCATCCACATTTACCAGCTAGCTGAATTAGTAATCTATAAATAGAAGCCCACCCTTCCCTATTTTATTGATTCATTTAATTTTTATTATGGTCTTGTGAATTTTTTTTTTTCAGTGATTCTAATTATTTTGGTGCTTAGTTCTCAGCTTTGACCACATGGTGCACCTTCAGGCTAGTTCCTACATCCTTGCAACATAATTAATTTGTAACACTTCCTTTTCTAGCTTAAAAAGATGCTTCAGGCTAATCTTAGGCTTATTCTCATCACCTCTTTTAATGGGAATGGTATTAGAAACCAAGGTCTGGCTTACCCAGGATATATATGGTATATTTTGATAACTTTCTCTTCAAAACTTATTTTGGAGCTAGGTGTGGTAATGAATGGCTGTCATTCCAACTACTTGGGAAGCTGAGGCTGGAGGACTGTTAATTTCCAGCCCAGCTTAGGCAATTGAGGGAGACCCTGTCATAAAACCTAAGAAGGCCTGAGGGTGAGGCTCAGTGGTAGAGTTGTTGTCTACGCTCAATGCTTAGTTGTGCAAAGAAGAAAATTTATTCTGAACACAGACCAAATGGATTCTACAAGCCACAGTTTGAAGAGTAAGAATACTGCTGTAGGGCAACTCACTCCTATCACTAGCATCTTCTGAAAGGCCAGGCTAGGCCACACTGGAGTTAGTTCTCTTTCAGGTGAAGTTCCTGCAAGCCTGTGGACCAATGAGAGGCCACTCACCAGTGGCTGGGACTGGGCCTAGCACTTGGCAATAACAGCCTGTGGAGCTGTGTTTGAGGCAGTAGCTGTTTCCCAGACACCCAAAGGCCTGGCCTGGAAAGCTTGGCTGGGTTCATCCCTTTCTCTGTTAATTGGGATAAGGGTTGTATCTATAGCTGCCTCTCCAAAGGTGTTGGCATTAGGAGCTACCAAGAACTGGATACCTTCCCCATAGATTGAGAGGAATAGAGCTTTTAAGCTTCCCCTAAACCCATGGCACCAGCAACTGCCTCTAGCCTGATGAGAACAGGGGCAGGTGTATTTAGTGTTAATATCCAGCTTAGGCCTAAATACACCTCAGAAGTCTGGCGCTTCTATAGTGGCTGGTCCTGTTTATAGTTTATTTTCCTCCTCTGCCAAATCCATCTTGGCATTGTACATTCATTCTTCTGGATCAATGCAGGCTTTTTAATTCTCCCAATAAAAACAATCTGTGGCCCTGTATAGTCGGGTCCATTCTCAACTGAATAAAATGTCCTTTATGTGCAGTAAAATCAGCTTATGGAATTGGGTATAAAACAACCAAGACTACCTTGTTTTTTCCTCGTGTTTATCTTTGGCTTTATACAATGTGTACAGTAAGAATTATATAAAGTGAAGTGCTGAAGCATCACATTTCTAATCAGGCAAACTTATCTAGATTGGAAACTTAGCTACGGCACATCTCCTTAACTGAAGAGAAACAGAATTGTCATTCTGGTAATTTATTAAATTTTTAAAATTATTGAATGCCAAATGCCAGGCAGTGTTTCTCCAGTCCCAGCCTCACTGTTCCGACCTGCAAAGAGCTGACCTTACTTAAAGGGCAAGACCTTTTAGGAGATGTCTCAAATACTGGGAAAACAATCTCTCAAAATTTGGAAGCAACCATTCCAGTTTCATAATGGCGCTATGAAAAAGGAAAAATAATGCTGTCACAACAAATCTGTCCTTTGTTAGCAAGAAAATTGAGCGATTTTTTTCATATTCAGCTAATTCACAAGAAAGTATGTCCTGCACTAGATCAAAGAATTTAAAATTTGAAAATGATTTGGGTCATGCCTGGTTCCCAACTGCACATGAATGATAATCTCCAATGTTTGGTTATGGTATTTGGACAAATCAGGACCACAGGAGGCTGGGCAGGCCCCTCCCACTACCCATGCAAGCCTTTGCTACAACAAAGGCCTTTTAAGAACCAGTCTCCAAGTCCAGTGGGTAGCTTTGTCTTGCCTCGGTCAGCCCTGAGGTTTTGTTTTTATAAAGAGCAGTGAAGCCCGCTGAAACCGCATGTGTTACAAAGACAACAATCTTTGGAGCCATAAAAAGTGCCCTGTTGAAACAAGGTATTTCCAGTAGAAGGCTGAACTGGGCTTGTCAGAACCTTTGCAGATAAACCCAGTGGTTCTTCATTAGTAAGTGCTGGGTTGGACACAAACCGTAAGGGGAAAATAAGGCTCAACTGTCTCTGTTCCTGATGACACTCTTCATTCTAGATCACTACTTGACATAGGTGTGTGTGACTTCAAGTGAATGTTAAATCTCTACTCTGTGGAAGTTTTGGTAGCTCACTGACAGGTAAGACTGACCAGTAAGCTCTTGGGAAAGTCATCGTCTGTAGTTCCTGCTATGTTACCACTAAAAGCTCTGCTCTTAGGGGTAGTGAAGCATGGCCTAACCCTGTTATCCCCAGGGACGCCACAAAAGCTCAAACCCTGAGCTGTGCTTATGCAATACTATAGTGATCAGTGAGCTGAATTTACTTGCTTCACTTACAGCCTTTTACAAATAATCTTGAATGTTTTGTTGGACTTAATGCTTCAAAACGGGTGTTTATTTCTAAGAAATGTAGAATATTGGGAGTTTTGAATGTTAAACCTGTTTTTGTTTCATTTTGGTTTTGGTACTGAGGATCAAACTCGGGTTCTTGCACTTGCGCAGCAGGCAGCAAAACCACTGAGCTAAATCCCCTGCCCGAATGTTAAACTTGTTACAAGTCCCTTCATTGTTTCCATCCCTTCAGAAAAAACCAAAGGAGAATTTTTTGGAAAGAACTAAGGTATGCCCCAGATAATAAGCCGAGTGAATGAAGGCCTCCCTTGCTCTCTCAAAGAGGAAGCTATAGCAGCAGTGGACAAATATTACCACTACTCTAGCTTTTAAACAGTGCCAGGAAGCATGTGTTTGTTTAAAACTGATGGTTTACAATGTGTGTAGAGTGTAAAATCCCTACAATGAATTAGACCTAGTTTCTTAAATAAAAATTGGCTACATAAAATTATATATATATATATATAATATATATTTTTCTCCTCAGTTAACAGTCTTTCATCTTAGGTACATGGACCAAACCCAAGATACAACCTTCCCCTTATTTCCCACCAAGCAGTACCAAAAATAACTTTCCTCTTCTACCGCATCCACTGGGAAGCAGGAAGGTTAGTGCAGCAGTTGTCAGGAACAAAGGCACAGGCACAGGCAATGCTAGGGTGGGGGACAGGCTGCTGCCATTGGCCAACTGAGTCTCGGGCTGAGTCCCCAAGCAGGGAAGGTTCCCAATCACCCTCGAGCTCTCCTATCCCTTAGTTACATCTTTTAAAGGCACATCCAGAAATGGTTCAACCGGGGACTGGGGTAAGCTGTACACAGTTGCTGTGTAGAGGTTAAGGGCTATAGGACTCTATGGCACAGAGCAATGAGGGTGTCCTTGCCTTTACCCTCATCTGGGGGAGTGGGAGGCAGGGGGAGAGCTCCTGGAATCCCACCTGCTTCTGGGTCAGTAGGGCATGTACTTAACGAGGTCTTTGGTGCTTATGTAGCAGCATCTCTCTTATGCACAAAGGCTTCCACAGCCAGCAAAGCTAGGAAAGGAAGTTCCTGTACACGGCCGCCAGCTGATCCTCTCCCAGTGCTGACCATCTGCTGCACAGGCACAAGGCACAGGTCAGTCTGCACTACAACAAAGTTTTAGAAAGGATGTCTTGGACAATTAGGCCTTGGAAGGTTATTTTTTCCCCCAGTTCTACTGAGGAACATGACAAAAACAGCCCATGATTCCTACCCAATAGTTCTGCCCCTCTGGATTCCTCTCAGATGGAAGTCCAGGCTTTCTCCCTGGCAGTAAGCTGGGGCTGAGTAAGCAAAAGGGCTCTGTGGGCCCCTGGCAGAGAGTGGAGCAGAGGTTCAGAGGGCTCCGAGAGCCACCCACCTCACAGGCCTCTGGGCTCCAGGACCAGCCAGTTCTCTGTCACCGTCTGCATGTCTTGGCCGCTCAGTGGCTCCCGAAGCCTCACCTTCACCTCCAGCTTACCCCCAGTGGGCTTCCTTCCATCTAGGACCTGTGAGAACAATAAGATGGGAGATGGTAAATGGGGATGGGCTGGGGACAGGCAGGGCCCTAAGGTCCTGGCAAGAGGAGCTAAGACACTCTGCAGTATTAACCTTGAGTGTGCATCTCAGGACAGCCCTGCCTCCTGCTGTGTTTATGGGTGGCTGTTTCAGGTTAAGTCTTTTAACGAAGCAACATAAGATTCTAGATGAGCATCAGTGCTTTGAAGAGGAGGTGAGAAACTTAAACCTCTACTCACTCAGTTTTGCTCTCAACCCCCACGGCAACTCTTGGGAGAAACACTGGCTTTAAGAAGTACCTATAAACCAGAGCCCAAACCCTCACTTCACCGCTGGCCAGGGAAAAGCAGATGACTATGGCAGACTCGGGATTCCTTCCTTCCCACCCACTGTTACTCCTTCAGGCAAGAGAGCAGCTGGAGTGTAAATACAGACAGGCCCCGCTTCAGAAGAGCAACCCAGGAAGTCGGGGTAGATGCACAATAGCCTCAGCCTACAAAGGCTTCAGTAAGGATCAGGTCTCAGCTCTGCCCAGGACACACCATATAAACCAACAGAAGCACCCTTTCCTCTGACCTAACTTTCCCCATCTCTCCCAAACAAGCTCTTAATTCCTATCCTGTAAGTTCATGGAAACTCAAAGACCTATCTAGGGGCCAGTTCTCTAAGCACAGACTAGCTGCATTCAGTCAGTCTGATCCTGAAATACATAGCTTATCAATTTCAGGTCTAGAGCTTATTTTACTTCCTCATGATGCCAGACAGTTGTCACAACCATTAACCCTGCCCCTAGAAGCCTAGAATTCTATGTGCCAAACTGACAGCAGTGATCAGACTCAATGGTCTCTCTCCTTTATCACCCTTGGGCATTTAAGTGGCCCAGAGCATTGTGGGAAGAGTATAGCTACTTCTATCTCGCTGACATTGAAATTTTTTCAGGTCTTCTATACCTTTTTCATCTGTGAAGTGGGGACACTATCTACAGCACACTATGGAAAATTTAAAATTAAGTCACAGGCCTAGAAACCTGTGACAGGGACTAGCATTCCCTGAATATCTGCTCTCCTCTTACCAAGTCCTCTGGCTTGTCACTCCCATACCTCCACAATCTCTCTGATCTCACACTCATTCTCCAGCTGCTCCAACTTCAGGTGTGCTGTGCCAACTAGCTTGTCACTTCTGAAGAAGGATCTGGAGAGCGAAGAGGCAGGAGAGATTAGACTGAGCAGGGAAGGTGAGAATGAACAAGGTGAACTCTGGGCAGGAAAACTGAATAGCAACAAGGACAGAAATGCCATTCCTTCCTCCCCACTCATCTTGTGTGACTAACTGGAGCCTCACCCTTTGTGGAAGATTTCAAACTTGATTCCTTTGCTCTGGATCACCCTCCTGAAGCCCCGGTGATTTCGGTTGATGTTTAGTTTGAAGACTTGATCAAATTCTGCAAAAGGGGGAGAAGGCAAAGAGAGGCTTGGCTCCCAGGGATTTCCTGAGAAAGTAGACATAGGCTCAGGGTAGGCTTCCTTTCTTAATCTTCCTTGCCTGCAATTCAGGGTGTCTGCCACCAGGAGGAGGTGGAGCATTAGGGCCCTGGCCTTGGGAGCAGATGGTTTTGTATTCTTGGTAGACATAGGTTATAACAAAATGGGAAGGACTGAGAAGTTGGAATAAGGATTCCTGGGTCCCACTTCTACAGTCTTCTTGTTATAAGCTCCTAGGCAAGTCCCTTTACCTGACCGAGCCTCAGTTTCCCCAATTATATAATATTAATAATACCTGGTTTATTTCCCAAGATGGGTAAACAAAGTCAGACTGTAGATGTGAAAGCACTATGGAAACACAAGTGCTTCTCATGGAGTGAGAGGGAAGAGAAAAGAGCCCAGTGTGGCACTCACCTGGGGAGTTTGTGTTCTTCACTACAGCAGTTTTGCCTTTTTGAGCCTGGTCCTAAAGCAATGAGAAGGGAGAAGTTAAGACAGCTTGAAAAACAGGTATGCAGAGCCAGGAACTCTGCACTGAGTCAGTGTTTTGGGAAGAGACCCCTGAGGAAATGGGTTAAAGGATCTTCAAACCCCTCCCTTAAGGCAGGCCTTTCAGGGATGGAGAAAAATGGAGCAAAAAGTCTTGCAACGGAAGATGGGTTCAAAGGATCCTAATTCTGCCTGAGACTCACCGAGTTAGGGTAGTGAAACTCAAACCGCACAAAAGCGTCCAAGTCATCAGTGGTCACCCCTGTGAGGAAGGGAGTCGATCAGAGAGTGGCCAGACCAGGTGCTGGCACCGAGACACTAGATAGGGTTACCTGGAGGGGCTGGGAGGTTCATTCCCCGGACAATGATCAGATGCATTTCTGTGCTGTTGAGCTCTGAGAAGATCCTACAGCCAAGAAGAATAAAGAGAGCATGACACACAGGCAAGTGGCAGAACCTTTCCCCTCTTCAGTGCTGCCTGTCTGTCCACGTGAGTGGGCCCACAGAGAGGCACGCAGATCTTGGTCTCTGACTCCTGGTCCAGCGCTCTTCCCACAGCTACCACCCGAGTCCCCTGGCAGACACTATGTCCTCCTTGCCGGCTCCAGGGCCTATGGCACTGGGAAGTCTCACTAAAGACCCTGCACTCCCAAACTCCAGCCCTGTCCCACACAAAGCCATGTTTCCCTTAGGCTCTGGCACCTCACAGTCTGGAATGTCTTCAACTCAAAGTGGTGGCTGGGAGGGTCCAGGCCCTGGGCCTGGGCCAAATGCATGATCTCCAGCTGTTTCTTGCGATCCTGAGCAAGCTTCTCAAACCTGATAGGGATCGGTATGCACATCAGCAGGGCAGAGCTGGTTTTCTGACCCCCACCCAAGCCCTAGCCCCAGCCCTTGCACTCACCGGGTAGTCTCAGCCACATTGCCCTGGTGCATGAACTGCTTGGAGAACAGCAGGCACTTCTAAAAATAGGGGCCCAGAGTGACTCCAGCACCAGAGCACTTAGCTATATTGGCCCCCAGGACCTGACCTCTCAAAGTGCCAACTTCCTCTGTGGCCTCACCTCTCCTCCCCAACACACACCCAGCCCTGTTCCCTGGCACCCCCATACTTTTCTGCCTATACTTTTGCTGTTTCCTCTCCTGACAAGTCATTCAGACTTCACCTAGCAAACTCCTTTTCTTCCTTCAAAACCTAATTCAAACACCATCTCAGATAGAAGACTTCTCAGAAAAACAGGCAGTAATTCTGCAGGAATATGTATGTATCTCCTTCCATCTACAAAGTCCCTTCCCCTTGACTTTGTTGTCTGAACTTCTTAACTACCCTGAAAGGAAGGTATTGCCATTTTAGAGATACAGGAATTGTGGTTCAGTCAGGGCAAATGCCTTGCCTAAGGTCACACGGCCAGTAAGTGAAAGAACCAGAATTAGAATCCAGGTCTACCTGCTTGGAGCCTCACACCTGTCTCCACAGGGAGGGACTGAAAGAGAAGGAAGACAAGCAGTCCACCAACCTCATACTGCTCCAGAAGCATTTTTTGTAGCTGGGCATACACCTCCTCAGCCTTTTGGGAGAGCCGCAGGTCCTCATGGTGGATGAGGATGAAGTCACCCTCTTCATCCGTCAAGGGAGAAGGTACCTGCCCGAGTCACAAGGGCCATCGGGCCCCAAGAGTCAGATTACTCCTTTACTGAGGCAATAAAGGCAGGAATCCAAACTAAATGTTTCTTCAAATTCCATGATCTCCAGTGATGGGCACTCACTGCCTCTCATCTATCCCAGGCTGCAGGAACTCTGTTCCCACTGGCTTTGCCCTGCCAGCCCCCTTCCCTTCCCCTGTCACTCCTGGGCCACGAAGGAGACAGGCAAGCGGCCATATCCCACCTCTTTCAAGGAGCTGCCCCACATCACAGCCCTGCCTGTCAAGCTGCCCCCACCTCTTGCCCTAGAGGGCCTGGTGCTTTAACCAGGTGGGACTCACCTTCGAGAGGTCAATGGGTCGGCCCGCTCGGGCCTGGATGACCTGAGCCTCAAGACCCTTGGCCACCCGCAGGTGGGCTTTGGCCTGCTCCAGGTCTTGCTTTCGCTTGGCCTGCAGGGCTGCTCGCTGGTACTGCAGCTTCCGTGCCTCCAGGAGTGCCAGCTGCTCCCGGACTAGAAGGGCAGGGCCAGTGGTAAAGGCCATGCCTTGTGAGACCCTCCGCTCCTCCAACCTGTTGTCCCTGGCTCACCAGTTGGACTCAGTGACTCCCTAGAACTTGAGGCCTTGGGTTCCGGCTGGGGTCGGGATGAAGGAAGCAGAGGCTGAGCTGGCTTCTTGGCCACTGGGGCCTGGGCTGAGGGCTCAACCTACCAACAAGCAGATGGCTATCATGAGATTGTACCCACCTGTCCTGTGGCAGTGTCCAGCCTTGGACTCACTTCCTAAGCCCGGGCTAACCTCCTATGTGACCTTCGATGAGTGGCTTACCCCCCTGGGCCCTACAAGATCTCAGAGATAAAAGCCTCACAAGCTCTCCAGTCTCCCCAACAGGAGACAGCAGAGTACTGGGCAGGATAATGGGCCCAAACCCAGGCTCTAAATGACAAACACCTGGGCTTGAATCCCAGCTCCGCCCCTGGCCAAGTGTTTCCTCTAGAATTGTGGAAAGGAGACCTAACCCCACTGGGCTCGTTGGTAGGCACAACGGGCTAGGATAACCTCTCAGCTATCATTTCTCCCCACCCAGCCCTGCATCTCGGGCTCTTGGCCAGACCTCATCCTCATCCTCATCTGCTGGCGCTGTATCCTCTGAAGTGGCCAGTTTTTGGGCAGCTGCCAAAGTTGCTGCCACCGAATCCTCACTGCCCACAGTGGGCTCTAGGCCATGGATGGGGGGAAATCCTGTAAAGAGAGACAGGGCGGGGAGAGTATGAGGGAGGCTGCTGTGAGTCCTAACTGTCTGGCCATGGTGGGGATGGGTGGCTGCCCCAGGGTGGAGGCAGATACAGGAGAGGTTTCTTCCCCTCACCCTTCTGGCCCAGAGACCTCCTCACAGAGCCCCGAGGCCAAGCCCCCCTCACCTGGAGGAACAGGCAACTCAGCAAAGTCCACTTTCCGTCCTGCTTGGTGTGCTCGAATAGCATCTTGATATTGCTACACAGGAAGGAAGTGAGGGACTCCTGGTGAGCTCACCTGGCAGCCAGGAACACCCACCACAACAGAGAGGCAGGGAGAGGAAGACTGTGGAAAAGTCAGCAGCCCTGGGAAACAGTCTTAAGGTAGCAAGCGCTCAAGTGAGACTCAGAGAAGACCAGGGCAACAGGAGAAGTAAGAGACAGAGAACAGCTGGCCAGGGAAAGAGGCCAGAACAGGGCAGGGCGCCGTGCAGTCATGGGCCCACCTTGGCGATGCGCTCATGCATCCGGGCCTTGCGCTCATTCCCACTGGCCCGTGCCTGGGTGCCTGCCTCTCGGTACTTGTTCAGCCTTTGCTGCAGGGCATCCAGCACCGTCTGTGGCTCTGCAGGGATCACTTAAAGGGGATAAAGGGAGGGCATCAGCTCCGCGTGTCCCTCCCCATGTTCCCACTCCCCAGTCCCACCATCAGATCCTACCTGGGGCTGATGGGATGTCAGAAGCCATCACCGGCTGTACTCGTTCCACTGCTGGGGGTGGGACTGAGGGTGCTTCGGGAGCCTCAGCAACCTGTGAAGGAGTCTTCAGGTCTGGGGGCCCAAAGCAATGTGTAGGCAGGGTGCCTGGTGGTCCCAACCTGATAAATCCTCCCCAGCCCAGCCTGAGCAGGCACACTACAATTCCCATACTGACCGTCAGGTACTGGGGGCATGGCACTCAGGTCCACAGGCTGCCCCTTCTCCAGGGCTTCCAGGACAGCACCAAATCGCTGCAGCAGTGAAAAAAACAGGTGTGGACATAGGTCCTGAGAGCCTGGGCTGGAACAGCTCTCCCTCAGGCTGATTCCCTCTCTGAGCCTCTACTTCCCCACCTATAAAACGAGGGATGGGGCAGTGCCTCCAAGTCCAGTGTCATACCTTCCCGATCCTCATGAGCTCTCGGGCACGGTCCAGCTCTCCAGCCCGCTTGGCGTTGAGGGCAGCCACTTTGTACTCTCTCTGTCGTGCCAATAGCAGGGCCCGGGGGTCTGGGTCTGCATCCGGAAGGGTAGCAATGCCAGGACTGCCCAAGAGGCTGGACTCAGAGTGGGAGGCATTGTCTGTAGGAAACAAAAAGGCCCCACAGAGGGTCCCACTGCTCACAGGTCTCACAGGCCTGAGGACATGTTGACGAAGGTGACTGATGGCAATGGGCAGGGCAGGCTGGGGAGGCAGGCATTGGGTGCTGGCCCTGGGAACTGGGCAGGTTTTGGGTCTCCAGATACCTGGCTCCAAGGCAGGGGGAGCTGGGGTGTCTGCCTGAGAACTCCTGTTAGCTGTTTCCTGGGAGGCTGGGGGCCTCTTGCCTAAGGCCACTGGAGGTGGGATCTCCTCCTCATTGACCTTCCTGCCCTTCCTCACAGCAGCTAACTGCGACTCCAGAGTCTATGGGAGAGAACCAGTCTAGAAACCTAGAGACCCGTCTCAGCCTGGACCCTGCTTGAAGACAGGCCAGGGATCCATCACCCAGCAGGGCTGGTGGGGAGGCCTCCCCCCGACTGTGCAGACTTCTCCTACTGCTTTCCCCAAAGCCCTCTTCCCCCAGCCCTCCTTCCAGACCTGCCCCGTCACCTTCAGGCCTCGCTCACAGCGCCTGGCTTTGGCTGCTTCACCTGCCTCCTTGGCATTAGCCACAGCTTCCCGGTAATTGCAAATCCGCTCTTCCAGCAGCGCCTGCAGCCCCCGAGGCCCTCCAGCCTGCAGATACTTCAGCTCAGGGCTGGGCCACTTCATAGCCAGCTAGGCCCTTGCCATTCTCTCCCTGTGAGGAAGCTGCCCCAGAAGATGGAGCTCTGGGACTCCAGGAGAAAGAAGAGCCTAAAGCCCCATGGTGTGAAGTAAAGACCCACCGGGGACGCCAGAGGCCAGGTCAGGGGTAAACACAGGGCCAATCAATGGAGGCCAAGACATGGCTTCAGGGAGTGGTGTGGGAGAACAGAGAGGCCTTTGAGGCTGGTCAGCCACAGGAGTTTCTCGTGCTCAATCTTTCCTTGGGCCAGCTACAGGAGGAGGGTTACCTCGGCTTGCTGTGCAAGCCTCGCTGCATGCATATTAGACATGGACAAGAGGAGCATCAAAGGCACACAGGGTCTGCCTCCAGAGCCTACCTGAGCCTCTGGGACTGAAGGTGTTAGGAGGGCTGCCGGCACTGGAGCTTCAGTGTCTTCCTGTCCCTTCTCCTCCTCACAGAGGTCTGGACTAGCTGCCTCATCACTGTCCAGGGGCCCAGCCTCCTCATCCGTACCCAGTACTTCCTGCAGCTCATTCTGGGAAGACACAGCAAGCCCCAGGAGCTTGGGGGCCTCATGGCCACACCCATGACAGGACCTGAGAATAAAGGTCTCCCCCAGTATTGTTTCCGAATGTCAAGACTTCTCCATAGTCCCCCCTTCAAAAACTTTTCTTTAATCTGACCAAGGATAGCTTTGAAAACAGTGAAGACTTCAAATCTGAGAATCTCCAATTGCAGAGGTCAGACCAGAGGTCAAAGGAGACAAATCTCACACTGTACAAACAGAAGATAGGCCCAGAGGGCAGGGTACCCACTCAAAGTGAGAAACACAAAGGGACAGATCCCAGGCCTTCTTTCTACCACCCTCTCCACCCGCCCAAGCTTGATCACACAGCCCTTGGCCACCAGCCTGGCAGACGCACCAGCAGGTCTGCATCCTCCTCCAGACCTTCCTCCTCCTCCTCTTCCTCCACATCCCGCATACAGTCTGCAGCCAACTTCTCAATGTGGGCCATGGGGAGAGGGGCTGGGGTAACAGGGTCAGAGGTCAGGACAACTCAAGTAAGGTCCAAGATGAGTAGCTGGTAGATACACCTGGACAGAAATTCCCCTTCCTTCCTACAGCAAAGCCCTACCCAGGAAACTATTCTTTCTTTATGACCCAACTCAAGACACCTGGCAGGGATGCCTTCCTGGCCTCTAACAAGCAAACAAGTTGACCCCTCACTGCATTTCTAGTAGTTATTCATGAATCTATCTATCTATCTATCCCACAAGCATCATTTTCAGATTTGTAAAGGTTTCTGAGCCCATCTGAACTTTGTAGCAGTTCTGCGAGAGGTAATATTATATCCATTTTATATAGTGAATAAACTGGGAATAGTGGCAATTTTCTTAACAATGAAATCCTACCAACTGTTCGAACCAAGACTCAAACCCAGGTTTATCTAAACCCAAAAGCAGGGCCATATCAGTGAGCCCAGTCCTCTCATTGTCAGCTCAAGTACACAAGAGAGGGCTACTGTTTCTCTCTGAAGGGGCCAGGTGAGAAGTGAGGATGGTTTAGAATCCCCACCCCTCAATTCTCCCAAGCCTAAGACCTCTGCCCTCTTGTGGGCTGTGGAAGGAAATTCCACCTATTCCTGTGATACAATGCCTGAGCACCTACTATGTGCCTAATTGTGTCTGTCCTCCCTGGACCCATATGGTCTCCCAGACCCTGGCCAGGGCTAAGATCAGTGACTCAAGTCAGTCAGAGAAACAGATTTGTCCACCAGAGGAAGAGGCTCCCATCACACAGGTACAAGGTCAACCTCTTGTGGAAAAGCTACAGAAGGGACAGGGGTATTGGAAGGACCAAGGGATCTGGCTGGCACCTTAAGAATGCAAGGCAAGGACCCTCTCTACCACAGGCCTACATCTGTCTGGTCCCAGTACTGAGCCTGGCCCGGGGTCAAAAACTCACCCTGCCCCTTGGGTGCTGGCTTCTCTTTTGTGGTCCCTGCTTCCCCAGTGAGGGCCAACAACTCGGCCTCCAGGTCTCCGTCATCTTCGGTCTCATCCATCCCAAGCATCATATCCTCAGTGCTGAACTCCACAAAGAGCCCCAGCTGACAGCACAGAAGGTTTCTTAGGAATCACACAGTGAGGCAGGGTAGAGCTTAGCCCCAGAGCCAGACTTGGGGTCCCAATGTCCTAGTCAATGGCTCCTTTACTCTGTGAGGACTAATGTGCAGAAAGGGAAACTGAGGCCTGCAACATTACCCCTTGGGACACTTATCTCCATGGAGACGATAAAGAACCCAGTAAGACCACGCTGCCATTATTTCTAACAATAATAACAGCAATAGCTGTTAGCACTAGTCACAGCGTTCTAAACGATTAGTTAATTGCCAGAATCCCAAGGTAGGTCCTATTTCTTTTTAATTGCAATAAAAGACACATAAAGTGAAATTTATCATCCTAACCAATTTTAAGTTAGGGCTCAGTGGCAGTGAAGTACATTCACTCTGCTGTGTCACCTTCACCATCATCCATCCACAGAAGCCTCTGCAAGTGGCCAAACAGAAACTCTGTACCCATCAAACACTAAGTCCCCATTTCGCCCTCCCTCCACTGTCTGGTAACTAGTTCTGTGTCCATTAATTTGGTTACTCTAAGTACCAGTCCTATTTTTTTTTATTCCAGTGCTCAGAACTAAGATAGCCTCCTCAATGACAGAATTTAAAATATAGTCTTTGAGGGCCAGGGATTTAGCTCAGTGGTTCTGTCGCCTGCCTCACAAGCACAAGGTCCCAAATTCAATCCCCAGTACCAAAAAAATAAAATAAAATATAGTCTTTGAGTCTCTGCCCTTGACTCTGCCTCTTCCTTCAGTTTTTTTAAAACAATAAAAACAGACTAAGTCCAAGGACTTGGGCCCAGAAGAAGTGAAGGGAGAAAACTGAAAAATAGATCTCAGCCTCCCACTTTGGTGGCAGCCCTCTGTCACCAGGCAGCAAGGTCTTCCTGTTGGCAATGGCCCTCAAACCCTGACACCCTTGGCTGGCAAGCAAAGGTTGACCCAGATAAGGATCCTCAGAGCACTGAGCTCCCATCAGAACATCTTCAACTTCAGAGGCTCCCGGGCCCTCCAGACCACTTGTATAGAGCAGTCAAGGGAGGATGATGGCTGGGCTGAAACCTTAGAAGGGAGTTCAGGACTCCTGGCCTTAACTGTGTGGCAGTGTCTAGTCAGAGGTCCCTAAGGGCACTGCTCAGGTTCTGGACTGACAGGTAAAACAACACAAGTGACTCAATCTGACCCAATTGCCCAAGCAGTCTAAAGACCTCCACTCCAAACTGGCCCGGTGGTGAAGTAGGCTATGTTCATACCTGCTTGGCAGCTGCTACACCCTGGCCACTGGCCTGAGGGCTCTTCCGAGGTCTTGGCCCTGGCATCTTGGCAGCTTAGATACCTATCAGGTGGGGAGTTGAAGAGACTCAGAGTGGAACAGACCACAAGCCCTGCCCCCAACAGTGGTACCAGGGGAAGGTGTAGTTAGTGAACTCCCCACAGGGGCAGAGCTTTACTCCAACAGGTGAATCACCGCCAATGTTTGACCCAGGCCGCTGAAGCAAGTGACACAGAGGATGGAAAACTGGGGATCACTGTTGGCATGTTGCTGGGGAGTGAGTGTGGACACACATATAACGTTACTGATTTGACTGACCAGTGTGGAAGGTAGAGTCAGGGGAGCCTGTAGGTATCAGATGGCGAAAGGGGTGGGTAGGATTTGGAAAGGCTTTAACCCGGTGAAGTCCATTCTAGAAGCAACATGTGACCAACTTAATTAAAAGTGCAGTTCCTCGGGAGCACCAGACACATTTCAAATGCTCAACAGCCACATGGAACTATGGCTGCCATGGCACGGTACAGCCACACAACACTTTCATCGAGGCTCCTTGGACAGCTCTACACTAGGAAACCTGACTCAGCATTCAGATTCTCAGGCATCCAAGCGTTCACGGAACCTGCATGGCAGATGATGCTGGGCCTGAGGGGACAGAAGTTAATCAGACACGGCCTCAGCTCTGAAGGAACACGTACACCGTGGAGACAGACCCACGCACAGACAACCGCTACACAAGGGAGCTGCAGGTACAATGGGTTCTCATCGGCACAGATTTAAACGGTTTCTTCAAGGAGGTGATTCCTGTGCTGAGTCATGAAGGCTCAAGAAGGAAAGGGAATGAGGGAACAAGTAGAGGGAACAACCTGACGACCGTTCTGAGGGGAGGAGCTTGGCTGCACAACGAAACTAAAGGCCTAATACTACTGGGAAAGAAATCAAACCGTGCGATTAGAAACGATGTAAGCTAAGATGGAAATGTGAGCCAAGGGCAAAACAGAAGAACCTTCCAACCTAAAGAAATCTGGACGTCATTCTGACAGTGGGAAAGGTGGAGGGCTGAGACCGGCGTTTCGGGAACATCACTGTGGCCGCAGAGGAAAGGTGCACAGGAAACAGCCGGGGCATCCGGCCGGGCGCGAAGGGGCGGGGGTGGCAGCGAGGAGAGGCAGAAGTCACAGGGCTGAGAGCACCGCGCCGGCGCTCGGGAGGGCTCAGCCGTCAGGTTTCAGTGCCTCGGGTGGACCGCGGGGTGACTGGGCTCAAGGGAATGGCGGATTAGTCGGGCTCAGCAAGTCGGCGGCTGCGGCGCTGGACCCAGGCCCGAGCTCAGGATTGGTGAGCAGAGGGAGGCGAAGCCGGGGACCCCACTCCCGCGGGGCGCACCTCCCGGCCCTGCCCAGGCTGCCTCCATCTCCCCGGCCGTCCGCAGACTACCCCACGTCCGGGAGACCCGAACCCATACCTCGCGGTGAATCCGATCCAAACCCGGGCCTTCTCCCGCCCGGCACCGCCCTCCCCCGCCGGCGGAGGCAGCGACCGGAAGCAGCCGCCCAGAGGACTGCTCGCACCCAGCACGTGATCCAGCGGCGGGCAGCACGCTATGCGCATGTGCGAGGCGGGGCTCCCTGACAGGTGACTCCTGGGCGAGTTTCGATTGGAGACCAGCGATTGGAGCTAGGGCATTGGGCTGGCCGCCAGCTGCAGGTTTTAAGTTTAGCGGGCGGCCCTCCCTTGCCGGGCGAAGGCTCTGCCAGGCCGCTCCCCCACTCAGGCCGGGGTCCAGGCCCCCCCCCCCCGCACACCGGGCCGAGGGTTAGGGGCGTGCCCAGGTCTCCCAGAAGGAGGGCTGGGGCTCGCTACTGCATTCACAGGTCAGCACTTCCATGTCCCCCCTGGCCTGGCTACAGGGCGGGGTGAAGCTTCAGGTTAAGCGCGCCTCCCGCTGTGGGACATACTTCAGAGTTCAATGGTCGGGCGCCGTGGCGCGGGTCTTTGATCCCAGCATTCTGGGAGAGGAGATCGCGAGTTCCAGCCCAACATGGGCGATTTGGAGACCCGGTCTTAGAAAACAAGCAAACAAAAAGGCCAGGCCGGGGATGTAGCTCAGTGTGAAGGCTCTGATTTTAATTCCCAACACCCGTGAAGGGAGGGTGGGGATTTATTACTAAACTCATACTCTCCAACCCGCAGTACTAGCAAATGGGAGGGGGGCGGGTAGAAATGGCAACTACACCGATTTTCTGTCCAGCTAGTAGATCTTAGCCATACTGACCTGCAGGATGGACATCATCCCCCGGAGAGAGTCTGAGTAACCCTTCAGCATCAGCAGATAGGCGCTAGCCTTGCCTCTTCCAGCTAAACAATGCCACTTCCCCTACTCCTGACTGTACCCTAAATGTAGGTTTTAGCAATTAGTGATTCTCAGGTCTTCCAATTTCCTCGAACAGTCTTTTGGTTTCTCTTTGTGTGTGTGGTACTCGGGTGTTTTGGGATATTGTCTGGCCAAGTCACTAAATTGCTCAGGCTGGGCTGGAAGTTGAAATCCTCTTGCCTCAGCCACCCACAGTGCTAGGATGACTTGTGTCATCATGCTCGGCCTTCCCATCTCCTTGTTGCTTTTGACTTCTCAGGGGATCAGCTTCACCATTTTGTCTTTTAAGACAGGGTTTATGTAGTTCAGGCTGGCCTTGAACTCACTACATAGCCCAGCCAGACCTCAAACTTGCAGAGATCCTCCTGCCCCAGCCTCCCAAGTGCTGAGGTATTACAAGTATGTATTACAGGTGTGTGCCACTATGCCCTGCACCATTTTTTAGTTTCACTTCCGTATTTTTTCTTAACCCTTTTAAAGTTATTTTCACATTTTTATAAGAAATGTTTAAGATATACACAAAGACATACAACATTTTGCATTTCCTAGGATGCAGGCTCCACAAAGGCAAACGTTTTTGCTTTTTCTTGTGTATCTTTGACAGCTAGAGCAGAGTGCAGCACATAGTATGCACACACTAGTCTGTTTTGCGTGTGAGTTAACAGCTACATGGATACCTACTAAAAGTTACAGATACAAGGATACTGTGTTATATTTCTATACATGATAACATGAAATAACAGCAGGGCTAATAACAAATGCCAGAGGAATGACCTACTGTGGTACTGTTTGAATGTTTACACTGATTATAAACTTCCCAAACAGGGAAAGAACAAATTAATGAAAAAATTGCAAAACACACAGTAATCATTTCCATTCAGTATATTTTGCTACAATTTCAGTTGCTCAGAAAAAAGGAAATTGGATTCTTTAAAAAACCACAGACCCATTGAATCCCTTCACTCTTCCTTCAATGCATACAGTACGTCATCCCGGCTGACGTTGAGCCGCACCCGAAGGAGCAGGTCGTTCCTGCTGGGCTCCATAAGGAGAAGGCGGCAGGAGCCCAGGCGCGAGCACACAGCCATGGTCTCTGACATGGTGGGGTAGGGCAGCCCTTCCATTCGGCACAGGGCCACGTGCTGACTGTATATCTAGACAAAAAAGCAAGGCAAAGGTTAGGAAAGGCAGCTATGAGTCTTAATCTGATTATTTATTTCTTCTGGGAAAAGCAGACCCTGGGTATCCAGGATACCCAAACCTCCAGAAGGCATCAGTGGGTACCCAAATGGGCCAGATACAGAAGAAAAACCAGCCCCAGAATCAGAAAACAGCAAGGGTGAATCTCGGATCTATCATTTATTACATATGCAGTACTGGGCAAGTTACTTCACTTTTATGAGCTTCAGTTTCATCTATAAAATGTACTGCATACTGCTAAGTATGGTGGTACACACCTGTAATCCCAGCAGTCTGGGAGGCTGAGGCAGGAGGACTGCAAGTTTGGGACCAGCTTGGTCAACTTAGCAAGACCCTGTCTCTAACTCAGATTTGAAAAAAAAAAAAAATTGAGACAGAGAAAACAGAATAAAGGAACAAAGGGAGACAGAAGGAAATCTGTAAATCTGTACAGATTCCTTTCCTAAAGCTCCCCACTGGGCCAGGCAAATCTGTAGCATCCTAGTCAATATGTATGAGTCTGTCTCTCCTACCAAGACTGGGAGCGTGACAAGAACAGGGATGTTCACCATTCAGCTTGGGGTTCTCGACACCTAATTCAGTCAATGGCACAGTGCAGATGTCCAGGAAATACTTATAAACTACAAGGAAGGTCATTCTCAGAAGAGAGTGATCTCTGGCTCCAAAAGGACAATAAAGGGCAAAACACAACCAGCAACTAAAGGTTCACAAAATAATTTATTTTCTTGTGGTGCTGGGGATTGAACCTAGGGCCTCATACATGCTAGGCATGTATGTAGCTCACAACTGAGCTACATCCTCAGCCCTCACAAAAGAATTTATAAATAACCTAAAATGTTTTCCTGTCCTAATTTAGTTATGTTCATGTCTTAAAATACACAGTACTTCCACCCAGTAGTCCCCACAGAACTGGCCATTCTTGCGACCACCTTTAACCATTACCAACAGACACCAGTTTTGCTTGTTTAAGACAGGGTCTCACTCTGTAGTTCAGGCTGACCTTGAACTCACCGGGGTGGAGCCCAGGCTGGCCTCGAACTCAGTGATCCTCCTGCCTCAACTTTCTAGAGTGCTGGGATTACAGGTGTGCACCACCACACCTGGCTCCTGACACCAGTCTTAAATCAATTACTAAGGCCCCAGCCCTTATGACTGCTTTGACTTAATCCAATAAAACTATGCTCAAATAGATCAAATTCAGATTCATCTTTAATTTTCCACACATGGCCTCATTCTGAAAGCCTTGTCTTCATTACGACATAAGCTGCATGTGCGGTAGTCACTGTGCCTTCTTCACCTCTCTGCTTGAATATCTGGCACATAGCAGACCTCCAGTCTAACATGCAGAGATCAACTGCTAAAGGCGTCTACCCATGCAACAACCCAGGAAAACATCCCATGGCCACTAGTGTTATACAGCACAACAGGGTGACTATAGCTTATAATAAATAACCTGTCACATGTCTGTAAAGAACTAGAAAAGAGGCGGTCATAGGTTCTAAATATAGAAAAATAAGGTGAGAGAATGCTAATTACCCTGATTGGATTAGTACATGTTATATATAGGTATTGAAACATCACATATAAAATATGTACAATCATTATGTATAAATTCAATTTTTATAAGCCACTTTTAAAAATAAGTGTTGGCCTGATATTCTTTAGCATAGTCAGGTTGGCATGAAATAGAGACAAATTTATACACTGAAATTTCCACATATCTTAAAAGCCCCAGACCAAAATCTAGAAGATTTCAAAAAAGGAAATCAATCACCTGTTGAAATGTTGCTTCCTCCAGTCCGGATCGATGGAACTCTGCAAGGATGGCTCTCAGGAAGCCCTGTTCCAGGACGGAGGAATTCCTTAAAGGAAGTGAGAAGACATAAGTTTTCGTAAGAGCCTGCACCACCAGCTCTGAGGAAAACCAAAGTTTCTCAGTGTCTCTAGAGAAAAGGGGAAACTGAGAACCATTTCTGTATTATCTGTATTTCCTTCCTTGCCTTCAGAGTCTCAAACTGATACAGTAAATGCCACTTTGGAAATGAGGAGACATAGCAACCAGCTATATCACAAATACCCACGCCCTTGTTGCAACAGCTTAGCACAGTGGTGGCAAACCTATGGCAAGAGTGCTGTAGGGCTGTTTCTATCACTGAAAGGTCTAAAAGATTCACATCACTGGGTGAGCAGATCATGCAGTGAGAAGCAGCTGTTTCCTTCTTGTTCCCATGGCAGTTTTACTCACCAAACTCTTCTCGGAGAGCCAGTGAGTGGCTCGTTTATTGGCTTTAGCATTCATCTGTTCCCCTAGGTTTCTGTTTTTGCCTCCCTCCCTGGCCCATGCCCCTAAAGAACTGTGTCTTTGTGAAGTAAAAAAGCTTCCAAAGGGAAACCAGTTTCCAAAACCTCAGCATGCTGTAGACCTCCCTGGTTTTCCAGGGAGGCTCGGGGAGAAAAGCATCTTACTTGATGGCAGTGATGTATGACGAGGAGAACATCTCATCCACAGCTTCCATTAAGTGGGCCACGGTGACCAGGCCGGGCGAGTCCTGCTTCTGGTGGGAGAACTCGCAGATCTCTGTCGCTCGCCGGCAAATATCCAGGCAGCGCCGTGCATCCCCCGAGAGGGCTGCTACCTACAAGGGGGAACATTTTGTTCCAGAAGTGACCTTGCTGTTTCAGCCCAGAAGACCCTGGAGACTCTATTCAGCTAAAATGAAAGGCAGTGCTGAGAATGGACTTGCACCCAAAGTTAAGGACTTAGCCCTGCCTGGGAATCTCACAGAAGCATGAGAATAAAACTGTATCTTCCTGGGGTTCTATTCCCTGAGTCCAAACTTTTTATCTCTGTTTTTGTTTTTTGAGACAAAGTATCATGATGTTGTCCAGGCTGGCCTCAGACTCATTATATAGCCCAAGCTGGCCTTGAACTCACAATCCTCCTGCCTCAGCCTCCTTAGTACTAGGATTACAGGCATGCCCACCATGGCTGCCCTTTGGCTCTGTTTTACAGAAAACTCCACACTACAAAAGGTGGACATTCTCAGTGTATTTATTGTTCAAGAAATGAAGTTTCAAAAAGAAATCCCTGACCCAAGATCATGAGTGGACCATCTGGAAACAAATACTTCTCATTCCTTGCTAGAGAGAGGCAGCCCCCAGAGCAGCCAGCCAAGGTGAGAAGCAGAGGCAGAGCCTCTGGAGATAAGGCCACAGGCGGCCTTCCTCATAGCAAGTCTCAGCTCATCCTAAACCCCAGGCTGTCGGGAGCAATGCTACATAATTTGGGGGGAAAATCATTTGATTAGGCCTAGTTCTCCTGCCTACAGGCCAGCTATGGCATTTTGAGACATAATTCCATTTTGGCCTCCGGGTCACAACTGAGACCTCAATGATCCAGTGATGCTGTGATGCTCCAGGACACGATTACAGCAGCTGAAGACATCCTGGGAGATAAAATCATCTGTACAGTCCCTCAATGATGTAGGAATTCCACTACTCCCCAGTCATCTGTTACATTTGTTTCTCCCTATGTACATTTGTTTCTCTGTAGGATGAACTGAATAAAGGTGCAGCCAGCTCGGTGGCTTTCGTCTGCTGCCTAGAGCAGCACTGATCAGGCCCAAAGCTCAGCTTCTTCTCAAAGTCTCATTTTTTTCTACCTTTCCTGTATAATAAGTTAATTCGCCTTGTGCTGCTGTGGTTCGCAGGAGGCTAGGACTCATTGCAGAGGTTCTAGTAATGTCCCCTTTCCCAGTTTCCTACACCGGGCAAGGCCTGTTCAGTGGCTAAGAGAACTGAAATGAAGAATGGGGGAGGGAAGGAAGTCACAAAGCCGGAAAACCCAGAGGAATCTGTGGTTTAGATGGATGAATCAGACCAACCTACAATTCTGTTCTTTTCTGTCATGCTGAGATTGAACCAAGGGCCTTGGCCATGCCAGGCAAGCACTCTAGCACTGAGCTAGTTCCCCAGCCTCACCCCACAATTCTAATAGCGCCTCTGTTGCTCCCGCCTTTCCATGTGCAAGCAGGCTGAGAGGCTCAGGATCCTTCTCAGTGACTCCTCTGGTCCCGCCACCCTCAGAAGGCTAAAGTTGAAGTAATTTCAACAGAAGCTGTTATGGCTCTCTATGTCCCACAAAGCCTATACCAGTGTTAGTGAACCTATGGCACGCGTGCCACAGCTCTGAAAGGTTTGTCATCATTGACCCATACCATTTACTACTACCTGGTCTGTCACTCAGAAGATTTTGCTGATCCTCGCCATAGACACATTCCCCAGTTTAAACTGTTGGGTACACATTAGAGCCACTTAGGAAGGTTCTGTAAGGAAATCTGGGCTGTTGGTAATGTGTACTATTCCCATAAAAACTCTGCCCTGGAGATGATCCCTTTCTTACCAATTCAAAAGATCAGAGATTTATTCTCGATCAAGGATAAAGGAAAAGTCTCTGGACCTGCATAGGTCCTACTGCAGGAGAGGGATGATAACTACAGGCATGCTGAAATTGCAGTCTGCCTCCGTTACTGCCTCAGGCAGGGCATGGGAAAGCTGAATATTCCAAGGAGAAAGAATCACCAGTACTGTAACAGGCCCTATCAGATTATCCCTCAGTGAACAAGAACCACTCAAGTGCTCAGAGTCCACCAACCAGCTTATTTAGTTATTTATATATTTATTTACTGGTTTTGGTACCTGGGATCAAACTCAGGACCTTGCGCTTACAAAACAGGCGGCGGTACCACTGAGCTAAATCGCCAGCAACCAGGTTTTTAATCTCCACACTTATCCCTGAGTAGACAACCAGGCTATCTGAGGAAAGTCTCCAATGAAGCAAGACAGAGACCAAAACCAACAAAGAGCATCTTGGAGGAAAAAGGAAGACAATCTCAAATAAATAGATTGGCATTTAAAAAATAGCATTCAGAGAAAAAAAGTTGTCTTAGAATATACACGATAGCAGAAGAGAGAAACACTAATCACAGAAGGGTTAGATGGGGGGTAACTTTGAGGATCCCATTCCTAGAAAGTGAAGCTTGGGGACAGGCACCACAATGGCTCACATCTGGGCCCAGTATCTGACCTAGTAACCAACCCCAGCGGGAGAGACTAGAATGCACTGCTGCTGCAGCCACTCAGGATTCACTTCATTTCAGGCAAGAGGAAAGTACAAACCCGTTCATAACACTTTTAAGTGCTGAAATACTTGTGGATGTATGGTTTCTTTCTTTGAACTGGAGGAGGCAGATACTTAACCCTCTTTGTTCATTTAGGTTTTCAGTACCTCACACCTACCTGGGACTGTGACCCTTGCCAGGCATATTGTAGACCTGACCTCATGGAATTCTCACCATGATCCAAGAGATAAGTATTACAGTCTTAATCCCATTTTTTAGAGGTGAAACTGAGGTTCGGGATAACTTTCCTATCACCTTTCACTTGCCTACTAAGTTTTAGGAACCAAAATTCAAACTATAGTCCTGTATCTGACTGTATTACCCTTTTAATTACCCAAATCTGCTTGCTCCCTGAATCAATTAATGTTACTTTGTATATAAGCTTAAATACTCATGGCCTTCTAAGTAATTAGATAATAAGGTGGTTAAAGAATCTTTCCAAACTCTTTTTTGGTGCTTTATTTTTAAAGGACTTCCTAAAATCCCCTTCATCCTCAGAGCATGCAGTGTTCAGCCTCACACAGCAGGCACTCGGCAAAGACTTGCTGACCCGCTTGTGGATGCAGCTAGGGGCTCCCCAGCAGTGACTTACCTTCCTGGCCACCAACTGGATGGCATCATCCTCAAAGGCCTTTAAATGCTTGAGTCGAGACACTAGGATCTGCTGCAGTTGACTGTGTGTGTAGGGCTGGAAGGACATCCTGGTAAGGCCCTGGGGAGCCCAGATGACAGAGGAATAAGTTCATTAACTGCCCACTGATTGCCCAGGTGGAAGATCATCTTCAGGCTTCCGAACCCAATTCCCAAGTTCTGCGTAACAATTTGCTCATTTCTTTGGGACCACCGCTGCAGCCAGCTACCGTCATTATCGCCATGACAATGACCGGTGGCATCCTACAGGGCAGTAGTTCTCAAACTACTTTTTGTTTTAAGAACCTTTTATTCTGCCAGGATCATTTGGAATTAGATAGAAGCAGAGGTGCTCTAATTAACCTAGGGAGGAGGATGTCAGGATCTCCCCTGATCACACAGCCCCTGGCTTCCTTTATCAGGCTCTTCACGACTGGATGTTGTACTTCCTGTTCAATCGTCAGGCCTGTGAATGCAGACTGCATCTGACTGGCTCACTGCTCTACTCCAAGCATCTAGCAGGTAGTGGGTAGTAAGTGCTTAATTTTTTTTTTTTGGTACTGGAGATCAAACTTGGGACCTTGCACTTGCGAGGCAGGCAGCAGCACCACTGTGCTAAATCCCCTGCTCAGTGCTTAATAATTTTAAAGGTAATCAGCCAGGCATGGTGGCACATGCGTGTAATTCCAGGACTTTGGGAGACTTGCAACAGGATTGCAAGTTCAAGCCCAGCCTGTGCAACTTAGTGAGATAAAAAATTTTGAAAGGACTGGGATGGGGGCCGGGGATTTAGCTCAGTGGTTTCACCGCCTGCTGCGCAAGCACAAGAACCCGAGTTCGATCTCCCGTACCAAAAAAAAAAAAAAAGACTGGGATGTAGCTCAGTGCATAGGCCCTGAGTTTAATTCCCAGTACACACACACACATACACACACACACCACACCCAAAACAAAGTAAAACAGAACAAAACAGAAAGAATACTCTGCATATCTCTGCACAGTTTAAAAGTGTAGAAGTAATGGAATACCAAGATATGGTATGTGCAGAAAATCATGCAATGGAGTTTTCTTCCAACATGGAAATTACACGCATGGCAGAAACTATTTTTGTTTCCATTTTTGCAGAACGCCTTGGCCCAGCTTACAAACCTGTTCGCACACCTTGAGAACTACCTAGGACCTACCAATCGGCTCGACACCCGGCTCATCATGATCCTCTCGGGCAGATCCATGGTGTTGGCAATGGTGAGGACCACCAGGCGAGCCTCCTTGTGAGTGGGCCAGTCAAACAGATTATACATGACATCTTGCTTGTGAGTCCACAGAAGGTCAAGCTGCCAGGAAAGAGGACAGAAATGCTGGGTCGGGCAGAACGACTGAGACAGGGCGGGGTAGAAGCCCGTTACCACTGCTCTTGCTGCATGCTCTGCTCCGGTCACCCTATCAAAGCAGCAAGGAAATCGGTGAACAACTCAGAAGAATGCAGAAGGGAGTCAGCACTCTTGCCCATCCAGCATCCACTCCGGGGATGTTATAGTCAGTGCTGCCCATTTCTGTCCACCTCCTGGGTGCACCTCACCTCATCCACAAGCAGGACAGTGGTTTCCTGTGGGGACCGTCGGGTACAGAATTGTTTTGCCAGAAGTGCTGCTGCATGGTTAGCTGTTGCCTTCTGGCCTGTCAGCTTCTGCATTGGGGGAAAAACAGCCATGGTAAACAAGCTTAAAGTGAAATCTGTAAGAGAAGCAACCTAGTCTGAGGGTTTCAGTGTCCTGTTCTCTGCCTCCCATTCTAGTCTTAGCCTTAACCTGGAAGGACAGGACAAGTACCAGATGAGAAGATAAAAACCATGTGTTTGAAATGGAAATGGGTCAGAGACTGGCTCCAGAAGTCCCATGAAAATCACCATTGTACCATTCTGTAACTGAACATGACCTGTACTGAGGTAACAGTTAATGAACGAAAGGAGAGATTTAACCCCTGGCCTACCTCAGCCACAGTCTGCCATCTATGGGTTAACAGTTGTCAGCACACTAGCAAGTCCTGGCTTGCAGTCACTCACTAACCAGATCCTAGATCCTAAAGTCCTGAGAGCAAGAATTCTGTCTCCTTCACCCTTGCTATTACTATGTAAAAGACACTGCCTGGGAGACTACAAACCTGTGAAATACACAGGAGTAAATATTTTCTTTTTCATGTGCCACTAAGAAACTGTATTTTCCTAAACGCCCAAACAGCTTTGCTCACCTCCAAGATCTGCACGTAGACTTGGTGGGGCTCAGTCAACTTCATGCCATTAACCTCAATGTACTGGAAGGGAGGAACGTCACTAGTTTGGGCTGCCTGTTGCAGACAGCGTATCACCTCGTGGACAGTGGCAGTCTTTCCTGTCCCAGGGACCCCAGAGATGTACATGCACCTAAGGCAAGAAGGAGAGAGCTGTAGGTGAAGTCTGTGCCAGCCACCTCATACCAGGAAGGGCTGAGATGCCTGAAATGTGGAGGTGGGGACACTCAGAATCACCCCTGGGAGGTGGTCAGAGTAGGGTCTGTTTAAACAGAATCATCCCATAAGCAAGGCTGTACACAAAACTACCTACCCATTGGTAGGTAGTGCCCCTAACAGCCTCCTGTATTCGGAGGTGGGGGTTTTGGAAGGAGACTGGATCATGGAGGCGCTATGGTCATGAGTGGACTCATCTACGGATGAGTACAGTAGTACAGCAGAGGTAAGAGGTTGGGCCTGCTTGGAGATGGGGGAATGGCGTGACCTAGAAGGGTGCATCTCCCTCCCCAGCTACTCCCTTCTCTATCTGCCTCCTGGCCACTATGACTGGCAGCTTTCCTCCACGGCAGGCCTACCCACCCCGCCGTTTCTGCATTTGAGCCTGCCAACCATACACTGGAAACTTCTGAAACCCTGAGCCAAAATAAACCTCTCCACCTTTAAGCTGTGGATGTTGGGTATCTTGTCCTAGTGATGAGAAAGTGACTGAAGTGACTAATACAGCCAGTTTCATTTTTTCTGAAAGGCAGAATTCCTACTCCTGTGGAATTTGGCAACAAAAGCTCCTTCAGAGGTGGTCAGCTTCAGCAGTGAGGTCCTTAATCCCGCAGACATTAAACACCTAGACCAGGGGCTTCCTCCTCAAACTACCCCACCTGCCTCAGCATCACTCACCCTCCAGTTTGGTCAAGCAGTTTGCTTTCCACAAAGTTGTAGATGTCCTGGAATTCCTGCTCTCGACAAGGAAGAGATTCGGGCACAGCAGAAACATGCAGCCTACAGTTGGCGGTAAGAGAAGAAAAGGAGGACTTTAGAAGCCTAAGGGCACCATAAATGAGAGGTACCAGCAACTGAACCTCCCATCCCTGGGAAGATGGTGGCAGCAGACTACGGTGACTCCTTCTGAGCCTGTCCATGTTAGCTCAGCCAGACACTGCTTGAAAATTTGCTCTTTTATTATAAACATCAGTGCCTGCATATTCGCTGTATTTCTCATGAAGAACGCAGAAGCTCCCCCATCCCAACTATCTGAACAGGGCCCGCAAGAAGCACTACCTCAGCCGAGCCTCCTCCAGCACACTGGCCGGCTCCTGGGCAGCCAGGCTTCGGCTACGGATCTTGGCAGTGACACGATGTGGTGTTCTAGGCTTGAGCTGTATTCAAAAAAGAACAGGATTCAGAAGGAGAAACAAAATAAAATACCATCATAGTAATCTGGTAAAAAGAATGGAGGTGGCAAATTTCTCTACAAGGCGCCATGAGCTCCCCTCCCACCTCACATACACCTTCTCCATTGTCTAAGCTCCACCCCTTTTTCTAATTTATACCTTGAAAGAAGAAATTTTTAAGAAATCTGAACTACTGTACACAGAGACAGGGTAAAAGAGTAGTCAAAAATGGATTTGATTCCTAAGATCTTTTGCTAGGCTTGAAAATACGGTCAAGCTTTGTTTGGCTCAAAACTTCAACGGATCCAACATACTATGGAGAAGCCTCGCTACAGTGTTGCGCGCTAAGCCCCAAGGCCAGTGCTGGGGCTCACAGCCATTCTCCTCTCTTCCTCATGGCTGGCTTGCTAGGGCAGGCCTGCTCCTCCTCCTCCTCCTCCTCCTCCTCCTCACGTGATTCAGTGATGGTTGTCTTTCCACCTCTCCCCCAGGCAGAGAGCACTTGCACTAGGGCTATTTAAAAAGGTTTGTTCTACCTATTAATTGTGGGGAAAGCAACAAAGTAATAATAAAGCCTTACTGAGAAGGCATGCAGGAGCCCAGAGGACTTCTGACCTTCCTTTTCATTAGGCTGAGGTGTCCCACAGACTACAATCTTTTCTTTTAGGTGGGACGCAGGAGACAATCAGACCAGAGCAAGGGCAGCTTTATGCGTGTTTGAGGAATTCCAGGTAAAGATGGTCTCTGGTTCACATATCATCTACTGAATTCCCTTCCCTGGATGTTTTCCTTTGACTTCAACCTAAATTCAATCTTGTAAGGAAAAATGGAGATCAGCTTCTAATTAAGCATTTCCCAACTGTGTTCAGAATAACAAGGTGCTCCATCAGTTTAACTTGTTTAATCCCAGCATTTGTCAAACAGACCGGAACACAGCAAGACCATTTTTCTTAATACTTTTTAATGTTTTACTAAAGTTCTCCTAAGGAGCAAAGACACCCTTGCTTCCATCTCACTGTTACACAATTCATCGGTAACACCTTAAGCCACACTCCCAGTTTCTCAGGTTTGTCATGCGACACAGGGCAACCCAAGCTGGCTCAATTCCCACTGAGCACTGGTGCACTCGCTGTGGGAAAGGCAAAGACAAGGGGGCAGTTTCTGTACTTCCCTCCGGAAGCTCAGCTCTTGGACATCTGATCCTGGATCCTAAAAGAAACTTGAACTTTAAAGTCACCATAGACTGGATTCATTTTCAGTCCTCAGGTTCATTTAGGTCTGCTCCAGCCCAGACAGTATTGAATAGGACAGATTTGTGCTATTGTGTCACCTCAGCATTCCCACCCATTAACCTAGAAGAGGCTGCTTCACTGCAAAAGAAACCTGAGGATCTTACGGCTTTCTTTGGTGTCTTAGAGGGTGTCTGGACAGATGGCACCAAGAAAGGCCACAGGTTCCTGGACGTGCGGCAGGGATTTCTTCTCTCCCGGGCTGGAGCACAAACCTCTTCATCCTCACTGCTGGAGTCGGAATCCTCTGCTGATGGCAGGAATTCTTTCTCCTCTTGGTCATTTTTATCATTTTCTAGAAACCTGAATGGTGTGGACATATTACTTTCTGATATTCAGGGTTCAAGCCTAAGCAAGAATTCCATCAAGGCCAGTATAAATCACAAGCATTATGGTCTCTCCTGCCACCAGGCAGTATAGGATTTGTTCCACTTCTTCTGAGACGCTCTGCTAACGGAAGTTTATCTCATTAAATCCCTCAAACAACTTTGTGACTTCCTATCTTACACATGAGGAATTGAGGCTTAGAAAGGGTAAGTGACCTTCACAAGGCTCACAGATTCAAAAATCTAAATTCAAATTGAGGTCTATCAGAATCAGAGTGCATCATTAGGCATATCACCCCACCATCTCGCTGGGAACTATGTCTATGGGGCCCCGGGAGCACATAATAAGCCCAGATCAGCACTTCTTGTCCCTTTGAAACTGTAGTATTTGTGTGCAACTTAATATAAAATTCCAGACATGCTATGTCAAAACTGAATTCTGATAGATGGGCAAATAACAGAAGAAATATAGATATCACATGTGCCAGTGAGGTTTCTCTGCCTGTCAAAGAGCAGTCTTACCGAAGCTGCTGCCTAATCCGATTCAATGTCAAGAGAGAACTCTTTCTGCGGACACGATGGGAAATAGAGGTAGCTTCATTCTGAGCTTCTGGTTCTTTAGCCTCCCTGAAAGATAATTGCAACCACATTATAGGAACCAGTTTTGGCACCTAGGACCCTTCCACAGGCATGAGAAGGTAGTCAGGTGGTCTGACTGGCTCCTATTCTTTTTATAGCTACTTTGCAGAGTTAAGCACACTTTACTAAAAAGTTTATAATAGGAATTTGACTCAAATTCAGAGATTAAAGTTTGTCTAAATCTTACTGAAATCAGACTCATCATCTCAAACAGCTACAGACCAGAATATACTAATCCCAGGCATAGTTTCCTGTCTTTTTTTTGTTTCTTTCTGGTGCACCCACAGATCTGCACTCAGGCTCAAGATTAGCAGAAATGTAGATATATATTCAGTATAAAATATTTCCTGAACAACGTATCATGCACCAGCTATTGGGCGTTTCTATTTACAAAACACTGAAATCTCTGATTTCTTGCTGGTTGCATTTTTATTTGTACAGCTTATTATCTATAAATATTATCTAGTGTCAGGTTGCCAAGTTTACACTGGATATATTATCTGCCTTTACTATATTTGAGAATGGCTTCCAATTAAAAAAAAATGATTTAAAGAATGGTTGTTAAAATGTGGCAAGAAGCCATAGTGACTAATGAAATCAAGAACAGTGATGAGGCGATGCAGGTTTGGAAAATATTCTTCTACAGAACAATCCTCAAATAACAGCAGAGTATGTAAGAATCACTGAAGAACATTTCAAAATACAACACTTGGCATCTGATTCACTAGGTATGGAAATAGGCTTAGAAATCTGTATTCTGAACAAACGAAAAAGGAAATCTGTGTTTTGGAAAAGTTCCCCAGTTATTCTGTGACGCTCTGAAACCCATTTCTCTTAAGTTTTTTTACTATATTTCACATCACAGGAAGGATTTGCTCCATGGAACACTCTAATTAATGTCCCTCGTCACCTCTTTTTGATGTATTCTGGTTTCAGGTCCACATAAGGCACCGCCGAGGATCTCTGACCCCCCCTGGTAGGAGTAAGATTTGTCTCACTAATCCAGGTGGTTTTCACAGCTGAGACTCGGGTTCTTAGGATCATGTGACATTCAGGTGACTCCTTATCATCAGCACAAAAGAGTCCAACCTCTCCAGTTTTCTCTAGGGCTTTCAGAGCTGGAGATGATGTCTTGATTCCATCTGGCTGGGGTCTCTTAGAATGTGAGGTAGTCTCTGAGAAGGTTGCTTTCCGCTTAGTTTTTCTTGGAGAATCCAAGGAGCCACATGAAGTCTTCTGGGATATCTTAGCATCAGGTGTCCTAGAGAAACCTAAGCCCAAGAAACATCACAAAGAATGTGCAAATTTTATACAGTGGACCTTCGAGTTATAACTGGCCTCACATATGAAAAACTTGGGTTATGACCAGAATTTTAGTTTTAATTTATGACCAAAGTCTTGAGTTGCAACCCAAATACTGGCCGTTTGTGCAGTTGTAAACAGACTCACGATGCCAAAAAAGTATAAGTGTGCGGAAGCGTCAGTCTGAGTCCAGATGTACGTCTGTGGATGTGATTTTGTCAATGCTTTATAAATCAGTATAATTACTGCTATCAAAAGGGCCACCAAAAAGGTAGAAAAGAAGCTAAGGAAGGAGGGGAAGGTAAAGAAAGTAATCACAATAGAAAAGAAGGAAATTGTGGAGAAATATGAGAATGGTGTTTGTGTGACCAATCTTGATAATATGTACAGCATGTATATCTACCATCTCCACAATCTTACAGAGAAAAGATTTGTATAAGGTAGTGTTGCTAAAGGTGTAACTCAAATTAGTAAGTCATGATCAACAGTGTTAGATGAGGTAGAGGTAGAAAGGCTATTATTAGTGTGGATAAACAAAAGGCAGACAGCAGATTATAGCCTATCTAGGTCTATAATTTGTCAAAAAGCTAGGGCTATAAATACAGTTCTTGTAAAGGATAATCCATGAATGGGTGATAACAGTGGAACATTCTGTGCCAGTAAGGGGTGGCTTTACGATTTTCAAGCGAGAACTGGGGTCCATAGCATAACTAGGCATGGTGAAGCAGCCAGTGCTGATAAAAGGGCTGCTGAAAATTACATACACCACTTCAAAATGATGACACAGAGAAATGGCTTTTGCTTTCATCAAGTTTTTAATTGTGATGAAACTGGCATTTCTTCCAGAAAATTCCAGGAGAATATACATTACCCAGGAAGAGAAAAAAATACCAGACCACAAGCCTATGAAGGATAGGCTAACCTTATTGCTATGTGCCAATGTGAGTGGTAACCTCAAGATAAAGCCTCTCTTGGTTTATCACTGAGACCCCTCGAGTGTTCAGAAAACATGGGGTCATGTGGAGATCTAATGCAAAAGCCTAGGTAACAAGAGTACATTTTTCTTGAGTGGATCAGCAAAGCTTTCTGTCCTACTGTTAAGAAATATTTAATGGACAAGAGTTTACCACTCAACATTCTCCTCAAGGACAATGCTCCTGCTCACTCATAAAATTTGGAAGAACTGACTGAAGAATTCCCACAGCTCTCAGTTGAGTTCCTGCCACCTAACACAATTCCTCTACTGTAGCCTATGGACGAGCAGGTTATAGCTAACTTTAAGAAGCTATACACCAAGGAACTGTTCCTGAAGTGCTTCCAGATGGTCTCAGATACAGATGTAACCCTTAAAGAATTCTGGAAGGAACATTACAACATCCTTTCTAATGTCTCCCTAAGGATACTTAGATCTGCCTAAAGCAAATTTGACCTAAAATTATTCAGGAGAGAGACTTTGAAGGCTGTGTAGAGGAGCCTGAGCCTTCAACTAACCCTGTGGTTTATGACACTGTCACTACAGCAGAGTCCATAGGCTTACAGGTAGACAGTGGTGATGTTAAGGAACTGGTAGAGGAACTCTCAGAGGAAGTGTCTACAGCGGAACTTCAGCAACTTCTGGCTGAGCAACAGAGAATGGCAGCTGAGGAGCTTTCTGAAGAGGAGAGGGAGTATCAACAATCAGTGCAGCAAAGTTCTTCTGAAAAAAAGAAAATCCTGAAAAAATGGAGAGCAACAAACATTTGTAGAGAAGACCCATCCAGCCAGAGAAAAAGCCAACTGTTGCATTCACTTGCTTAATGACAATGTCATGTCATACTACAGAACAGTGTCACAAAAAAGACAGAAACAGACAACCTTAGACCAGTTTTTAGTTCTGAAAAGGTTAAAACCTAGTGAGCCAGAAGCAGGTCCTGGTGGGCTACAGACTCTCCCGAAGAGAGAAAGGGCACCAGAGAGCCAGATTCCTGATGTTCTTATGGATGGAGAGTCTCCTTCCAAAGAATAACCACCTTCCATTTCATCCTTTCTTCCTGCAAGCCAAAGATCTCAACTTGAATGGTCAGTATAGTATGAAATTATTGTTTCTGATAAACTAGGCACATTTTATAACTTTTTGGTGAATACACTAGGAAAATTATTGGTGTTTCTGGTAAATTATGCACATTACACAATACTTTATTATTATGAAAAGGTTAGTCAAGGGGTGCTTTGGGAGGTTCAGAACGCATTATAGGTATTTCCATTATTTCTTATGGGAAAAATAGTCTTGACTTACAACCAGCCCTCAAGAACGAATTGAGTTCATAAGTCAAGAGTCTACCGTACCTAGCAATGTACACACCTCCTATCTAATCATTGCTAAATTTACCCAATGAAGTTATACAAAGACATGAGTTTGAATTACTCTGTATCCTTAAGATCTCCATGTAGCTCTATTCATTTTCTGTCTCTTTCCTAAACTTGATGAGTAATTTTCCTGGTTAGAAGAACAGTTACTTTCATTTTTATTTAAAATATTTTTTCTGTTTTTCTTGCTGGGGATTGAACCCAAGACCTCACATATGCTACAGAAGTGCTCTGCCACTGAGCTATACGCCTAGCTCCTCCTTGTAAATCAACTTTTTCTCGAGACAGGTCTTCCAATGTTGCCCAGGGTGTCCTTGAACTTATAATTGTCCTGCTTCAGCCTCCCAACTAGCAGCAACCACATTTACCTGAAATAATCTACCCGAGCAGTTCTCAACCAACTGTAACACTGTACATCCTCCATTTGAAGGAATTACTAGCAATGCCATGGAGTAACACAAGGCCTAGGTTCTCTTTTTTTTTTTGGTACCGGGCATGGAACTCAGGACCTTGCACTTGCAAGGCAGGTGGTGGCACCTCTGAGCTAAATCCCCAGCCCTGAGGCCTAGGTTCTTCTTAACCCACATTAGAAAAGGGATCCCTGGGGACAATCGTCTGGATCCTGAGACTTGTTTCACTCTCACCAGTCCCAAAGGCTTTAAGGACCCCAATCCTCCATTCATAGATACAACTGAGCTGTTGAAGAGCCAAGGTCTGTGCCAGATGCTAGGAGGAGACAAAAGCTAAAAGAAACAGCCCTGGTCCTCACCTACAAGACACTCTGGTCTAACTGGGAAGATAACAGGCAGAAGTAGCTACAGTATGAGTAAAGTATGTGGCTAAAGCACGTAAGGGCTAAGGAAGATAGCTTTTGAGATAGAACTGGAGAATGGTAAAATCTCAAGAGATAAAAGAGGAAGGAAAGGAGGCAAGTGAGAACAGAGGAGGATAGCTATGAGCTAAGGCAGAGAGGCGAACACTCTAAGCACAGGGCAATTCTCTGGAATCACATACATGAGGGGACAGGGACAGACAAGACTCAGTGTCATTTTGTGCCTGTGTCTGAATAGCCATGGTGGCTTTATTCATAATCACCCCGAACTAGAAACAAATCAGATGTCCTTACAGGGGGAATGGATATGCATTGGTATATTCACTCAATGGAACATTACTCAGCAATAAAAAGGAACAAATTACCAATACATGACAAAATGGTTGACTATCAAATATGTGATGCTAAGTGAAAGGATTCAGACTCACAGACTGATTCCAACACATTTCAGAAAACACAAACTCTAGAGACAGCAAGTACATTAGTGGGTACCAGGGCTGAGGTGGGGTTTCTACAAAAAGCCATAAAAACATTTTGGGGCAAAACCAATTATAATGATGATTATACAAATCTATGTACTTCTAAAGACTTATAAATCTTAAATTTAAAAAGCTACAAATTCTGAAACTTTTTGCACACTGACATGAAACCACAAGCAGAAAGTTCAACACTTGACCTCATGTAATGGGTCATAGTCAAAATACAGGCACACTACAAATACTACTATATAAAATTACCTTGGTTAGGTGGTATATGGGGGGCATATGAAACAAATTTCATGTTTAGATTTGGGTCTTATGCTCAAGATATCTCATTATGCTATTCGGATATTCCAAAAGGGAAATTTTACAGTAAATTATACTTTAATAAAACCGACCTTAAATGTTATCTAGAGACAGATCTTAAAGGTCTTTGAACATGAAGCAAAAATTAATCATTTTTTGGTAGATAGTGGGGTAATGCATATCTAGATTAACATAAATATGCCCCAACATCCTGGCCTCCCTCATACCTCAATTCATTTCTCATCTTTCTGTCAAAATAACTCATCCAGATATTTTCACTAGATCCTCCCTCTTCTAACTATGTAACTGTATTGAATTGAAATTCTTGCCTTAAGTTTCCAAGTCTTGCATTCCCAACAAATAATACTGCAATTATTTCTGAAGATGATAGTACAAATTATTTCTTTAATAGCTTTTTTCCATCTTCATTTTCCAAATGTTTTGTACATTTATATTCAGCTCCTAAACACATACTGTACAAAGGAGCTATCAAAAATAAAAACAGCTTTCACAAACAAGAAAAAAAATTTAAAAGTTTAAAAATTAAGCAAGGTATGGTACTGCATGCCTATAATCCCAGAACGCTGGAAGCCTGAGGTAGAAGGATCACAAGTTCAAGAGAGCCTGGGTGTTATGATTTAAATCTAAAATGTCCCCCGTAAGTCTCACATGTTCAGATGTGGGGCCTTTGGAAGGCGACTGGATCACTGAGGCATAACCTGGAAGAGTGTATTTGTGTACTCAGCCTCTCCCTACTTTCTCTGATTCCTGGCTGCCATGGGGTAAGCAGCTATCCTTTGCTATGCCCTCCCACCATGCTGTTTCTGCCTTGGAGCCAACTTACCATGGCCTAACACTCTGAAACCCTAAACCAAAATAAACCTTTCCTGCTTTTAGTTTCAGGTGTTAGGTATCTTGTCCCAGCAATGGAAAAGTAACTATTACAATAGGCAATTTGGTAACTCAGAGAGACCCTGTCTCAGAAGAAAAAATTTTCAAAAGGGCTGGGGATATAAGTTCAGTCCAAAGCCCTTAGGTACAATCCCCAGGAATAGGGGAACAAATAAAAAATTTAAAATACAAATAACTTATACTTGAAGAACTTGGCATATACCCACAAAAAAATTCAAAATGATTAATGATGTATAACAGGATGAGCCAAGCTCTCAGTGTAGCCATGGAGTGACATTCAGATACACTGTAAGGGCAAAAAGCATATTAGAAAGGAATGTACACAGCATGCTATCCTCCTGGGGAAGAACAAAAAAATAAAGATAAATACAGGTTCATTTCAGGCATGCAAGGGCCAGGGATTTAGCTCAGTGGTTTCCACCGCCTGCTGTGCTAGCGCAAGGACTCGAGTTTGATCCCTGTTACTGAAAAAAAAAAAACAAAAGAAAAGAAAAACTCTTGGCATTGCAGGCATGCATCTATGCATATATACCTGCTCATAAATATAATGAATCAAAAAGTAATTACCCACGGAAGCGGAGGTAGCAAACAGGGTGGCAGAGTAAGGAAAGGAGAAGGGCTTCTCTGACAACATCTCTTTTCAATAGTTTGAATTTGCATTAATGTTTCACATGTTTCAAAACTGAAATGAGAAAAGCCCTAAAATGAAATACAAATAAAAGAACCAAACCGCATATCACCAATAATAATTTGTCAGAAGAAAATTAACCAAAGTATCTTTCTTCACACTGTGGAATATATCCTAAAAGCATACAGAACCAAAATCAATTTTGAACTTTACTTGGTGAGTTTACTGCTGGTAGGGGAATTGGTATAGCAATTATAGAACTATTTTATGTGCATCAGAATTGTTCCTAGGAACCAGAGTTTTTCCTGAAGAAGAAATGAAATTATGAAATATGGGAAGGACCTTGTGGTTCAGATTAAGAATTTTAAAATGCACGTGTTTCTAGCTCTTCCACAGATGACCTAGAAGAAATTTCATCTCTGTCGCAGGGCTCCTGAAGAAACAGCTCATTCTGGGGCTCAGCAGCACTCATCATTAAGGAGCTGCACATCAAAGCCACAATAATGAGATAACAAAGATGAAGCCAGAAGATTTAGCTAAGTGAAATAAGCCACACACAGAAAGACGACTCCACACAATCTCACGTGTATGTGCAATCTTGAAAAGTTGAACTCACAGAGGTAGAGAATAGAATGATGGTCGTCAAGGGCTAGAGGAAGACAAGGGGGAGCTGCTGCTCGATGGGTACAAAGTTTCAGCTTGACAGAGGAACAACTTTTGAGATTGATTACACAGCAGTAGCTACAGTGAATAATAATCTATTGTATATTTTTAAATTACCAAGAATAAATTTCAAACATATCACCATAGAAAATGCTGGCTTCAAACCAGCTGTAGAGCCCAGGCTGTCCCCAAACTCATAATCCTCCTGCCTCAGCCTCTTGAGTACTGAAATTATAGGCATATGCTACTATACCTGGCTCTTAATGGAGGAGGAAGGAGGAAGGGGAATAGGGGGGTGGAGGGGAAGGGAGAAGAGGAAGAACAGTAGGCAGAGATCCATCACACTGAGATATCTATTAGAACAGCTACTACTGGTGGCACAGGCCTATAATCCCAGCACTTGGGAGGCTGAGGCAGGAGGATTCCTGTGAGTTCAAGGCCAGCCTAGGCTACATAGTGAGTTCAAGGCCAGTATGAACTCATAGCGAGACCCTGTCTCAAAAAACCATAAAAATAAAAAATAAAGAAAAAGAATGGCTACTAATGTCAAAAAAATTATAAGCTTTGGTGAGGATATGGAGAAACTGGAACTTTCATACACTGTTGGTGGGAATGTAATGCTTTTTTTTTTTTGGTACCGAGGATCGAACTTGGGACCTTGCACTCACAAGGCAGGTGGCAGAACCACTGAGTTAAATCCCACTGTTGGTGGGAATGTAAAATGAACCAGCTACTGTGGAAAACAGTATAAAAGCTCCTTAAAAATAAAAAGAATTATCATATGATCTAGAAGAACTAGAAGTAGGATTTAAGAGATATTTGTTATATCCCTCTTTGTAGCAGCATTATTTAAATGGCCAAAAGTGTCCATAGAGAAATGAATGGATACACAACATGTGATACATACATAAAATGGAATATCATTCAGCCTTAAAATGAAAGGTAATTCTGACACATACTACAGCATGGATATACCTTGAAGAAATTATGGTAAGTGAACCAGTCACAAATGGACAAATAGTACTGTATATTCCACTTATATGAATTACCAAAAGTAGTCAAATTCACAAAAATGTCCCTAATGTCATTTAAAAATGATTAAAATGATAAAATGCATGTTATCTATATTTTAATGTGTCCAATCAATACCTGGCCTACTGATACACTAAATAACTCTCAAATCGGGCTGGAGATTTAGCCCAGTGGTTTCGCTGCCTGCTGAGCAAGCACAAGGACCCGAGTTCGATCCCCGGTACCAAAAAAAAAAAAAACAACAAAACTCTCAAATCAATGAATATTTTATCATGTTCCTTTAGCCCCAGTATGGCCCAAATGACCCATTCCACACTTACTGCGAAACTCCAGCTTCTTCCTTGCAGTGGGGATGGCAGGATGGGTGGGGATTTGGCAAGGTATGGATGCAGAATGTCTGGATTCAATCCTTTTGGCCACATTTTCTGCTGTGCACCAAGAAGGGCTTTCTGCATTCTTAGTCCTGGGCTTCTGGCACTTGGGGCCCTCTCCTTGTAGTTTATCAAACTCTGCAAATAGTTCTGGGGAAAGTGGTCTGAACTTCTTTCCATTCCAAGATAGTTTCACAAAGAATGTCTTCTCATTTTTCAGATCCATCGGTATCACTTCGTCTGGTGCTAAAGCCACGACCTGAATTTAGGATGTATAGAGAAATGGGAAAAGATGAGGGCGAAACCAGCCAGGGGAGACTCCAACAAAGCTATGATTAGAAGCCACTTGCTCTCACACCTGTATCTGAAGCATTACCTTTCCAAACAGAAGAGGCGCAGACGCAGCACAGCAATGTGTAGAAATAGGGAGCATTTACTCAATCATACGTAGTTTCAAAGATGTCAGTGAACTATACACAATACATTATTCCCTTCATGTCCTTTTTCAAATGTTCACTGGTTTGACCTATTAATTCCTACTAAAGCCCTAGATTATTTTATCTCAGTCCTAGATAATTTCCAGACTTCCCCTAGGTAATATCTATACTCTGTGTGGCTTTTTTTCCAAATCACTCTATTCAGATAGGCCAAATTTTTGCACAAAAACTTTTTAAACATGCTCCTCTGTGCAACAGTCAACAGTGGCTCCCCATGCGGTAAGGTCAGATGATACGAACTGACTTTTCACTGTCTTGTGAAGTCTGGCCCCATCTTACGTATAGATTGCTCAGGGCTGCTCAAGTGGCCTTGTACCACTAGTGGAGCCTGGCATTCACAGTCCTGCTCATTCTCATCAGCATGCTCCTGTTTACACACCCCCTTCCCTGTACCCTTCCAAAGCTAGCTATTCTGCTGCTTCAACTACTACATCTGCCTTTCTCTCCTTCATTTATTTAACCCAGATGTAAGTATTATATATAGCCATGAGAGACTAAAGTCTCTGCTCCACCATTAAACTAACCACTTATTCACCATAAGGCCACACTTCAACATCACAATCTACCTCCACTTTGAGAACCCAAAGAAGCTGCAGGAATAAACAAATATTTAGTCTCCACATCAGTGTCCCACTTCAGCCTATAAACAAGCGGCTCATTAGCTGATTTATTATAAAATCCCTGAGCATAAATTTTCCTATAGCAACTGGCACTCTTTGTGCTGATTTACTCAGGGTGACATCCTCATTTAACAAAGCATATTCAGCCTCACAATGCTCTATGGCTGCCACAATCACAGCTAAATATAATTTCCCACTGAGACACATTTGCTAATTCCTGCTCATCCCTCAGGTCATAACCCAGATGTCACTTCCTCAAGGAGGCTAACACACGATATGTGCTCTCAATAAGTATTTGTTTAGATGAAACAAGCAGGCAGGCAGAGATAACAGAAAAGAATTAATTCCCCATGGAGCAAATTAGGGCCAGTAATAATGTTTCTGAGGTCATGCAGCTAGGGAGGCTGTAGAAGTCAGAATCAAGATAGAACCCACGATCAAGGCACCACCTACCCGAACAGGGCCAATGACGGTCTCAATATTAATGTTGTCATCACAGGCAGGGTAGTCATACCAGAAAATCTCCTGTGCGTCAGGCTTCCGGCCCAAGAAATGCTGTTTGCAGGGAGCAACTTCACAGAATCGGATAAACCACTGTACCCGTGCACATTTCCTAGAGCAAGGTTTGGAATCTATGATGATTCAGTGGGAAGGAAAAAGAAAATGTAAGAATATTGTATTTAGCAGCTCCTATGTGCGCAACTTTGTGCCAGGCTCTCAATATGCATTATTTTTAATCTTCATAATTACCATTCAAGTTGGTGCTATGGCCACCAAAGGCAAAGAAATTAACTTTCGGGGACCTTGAGTAATTTGTCAGAGGTCACAGAACCATCCAGCAGCCATCTGACTCAATACCACACCCATGTTCCACTTTGAAATTGTGTCTTCAGGAGACACAGGAATTTGAAAGTATTTGAAAAGAGCTACTCCAATCACAGCCCCAAAACAAATTATCAGTGGATAAGTTCTGCAAATTAGTGAATAAAAAGAAGGCATCAAATTACAGGGGAAAAAATCTCAGCAAGAATTAGAGTAGCCACCAGCAACATCTTGCAACCAGCAAGATGACTTCTTGGAAACATGTTTGCAATCATCGACTGTATTATTATACCATTTATATCACTGTAAACCAAGCAAATGTTCCTATACTCAATAATACCATCATCGCCATGCCCCTTCTTAACCCTCCAGAGAGAAGGAAGCCATCCAGTGGAGCGCCCACTCCACATGTACACAGAATCACGCACTGCTACTGTGCTCCCCCTAGTGGACACTAATTTGATGCAGTTTCTCTCCATGTTGACTATCTCCCCTATCTTTGCAACTCAGTCTCTCCATTCTTTCTTTCACTTTTTATGTCGTGGTACTGGGGATCAAACCCGGGGCCTTGCTCAGGTGAGGCAAGTGCTCTACTACTGAACTACATCCCAGGCCTTTATTTTTATTGAGACAGGGTCGCACCAAGTTGCTTATTTTGGTCTGGAACTTGCAATCTAGCTTCTTCTGTTAGGCATGCAAACTGCTACAAAACTATCTCACACAGGTCATTCCTCTCCCACATACCTAGAGGCAGTTTTGTGTAGTTTCAAATTGAGCTTGAGGGCAACCTGAGCTACACAGTGAGTTCGAGGCCAGCCTGAATGACATAGGACCAAAAACAGGACCGGGGATTTAGCTCAGTGGTTCGGATGCCTGCCTCGCAAGCGCAAGGTCCCAAGTTTGATTCCCCGGTACCAAAAAACAAAAACAAAAAACAATCAAATTGCTTTTTTTCCTTCTTAATCCTCCCTTTGGAACTCTGCCCTATTCCACCTCCAGTGCACTCCGGATCTTCTTTTTCAGAGGTTCGAAGCTCAGCACATCACAGGAGGCTTTCGCTCTTCTTGCCTACTGATCTCTTAAGAGACATCACATTTTCTTTCCTCCTTTCCAACCTCATACCCAAGTTCCTATGGGTAAAACACCTAAAGTGCTTTTGTTTTCCAGACTAAACACCAACTGATACACCTTCTTAACCCAACTCACCTCCTCCCTTGAAATGAAGTTGCACTTGTCAAATTTACTACTTCCACAGGCCCAAATTAAAGGCTATATGTCTAGTACAATACAAATCTTTTTTTTTTTTTCTTCTCCCTTCTTCTCAAACTCTTCCTTTCTCTCCATCCCCTAAATCCTGCCTTCGTGGCCATTTCTCACCTACTCCTAAAAATAATGCAAAAGCAAAATTCCTAAGCCCTCCAGTTCCATTTTACCCAATATTACTCTGGTGATTGCACAAGTTTTCTAGATGGAAAGGAATAGCTAGTGCTTGTGCAATCCCACCTCACAGGCCAACGGGCTCTATCTGCTGCTGTGAATACAGTGATGGCAGCCACCCTCCACCTCACTTCCCAATCATCCCTGACCAGGAAGGCTGTTCACTCCAGCCGCAAACTCACCGTCTTCAAACAATTCAATCAATTTTGCAATATAAGGGTTTTGATCATCTTCCCCTTCAATCAACACAAACTGTCCAACTTGGATGTGAGTCTGAGTTGAACAGCCTTCTATTTTCACAGATATTTCTCTAGGAAGTAACAGAGAAACTTGTAAGGAAATCTCTTAGGGTGAGAAAAGATCTTTAGACCCTGTGGAACCAAAAAGCGTTCCTTAAACAGAAATTCCCTAAATAGTTCCTCTAGGTTGACTAACTCCCCGACTGGGAAACCAACATACTAAGCTATATGTAAGAGGAGACAAAATGGGTCAAATGAATTATTTTTGCACAAACAATGAATCTAGAGGGGTTAATACGACCCTAACTTCTCTCAGTTTTTGACAAAGGTTTTCTCAGGCTGGAAAGATGCCCAGTGCTAGTATCAAAATTGTGCAGCTAGAAAAGACACAATAACAACATCTCTCATTTTATTAGCATGAAGAGTTACAAATAACTCAGCTTAAATAGGTATGACATTATTGCACATATGAAAATAACTAACCCATATAACTTTGCCCTCATCACTACTCATACAAAAGCTTACATCAGATAAAACCCTTCCTTATATTCAATACATATCTACCCTCCCTTGGTCTTCAATCTGGAGTAACTAGAAGAGACTGGACACAAAGTTATGAACAGTTAAGTTTGAAAAGCAATTTTGCCAGTCCAACCAAAGTGCCCCATTACTCACTTGTAGGTTTGGTGGGACAATTTTCGATCCAGCAAAGGCCTGCCAACCCATGAATAAGTTTTTCTGGTCTTCTGCCTTGTGTTGTAGGATGCCATGGTTCCTGTGAAAGAGCCCTCACTCTGAGTTACCATGGCAACACACATGGGTTCTAAGACACAGTCTTGCCTTTCATAAATTCAGCCTTCTTTTTTTTTCCAGCTGTCCCTGCTTTAATCTCACACATTGTTATTGAAGTTATTCAATAACATTTCCTTCAGGGAAACAGTCAGGCTTGATGAAGGTTAAACATAGGCAATTTAGTATCAGCAATATACATCTTGTGCTATGCTTTATTTAATCTTGCACACAGAAATAATACATAAGAAAATAAACTATAAATGTTTGGAAATCCTTACTAGGAAAAAGGCACAACAGACATGAAACATCTAACAATGTGAAATGTTTCCCATTAGTTATGGATAGGCATAAAATATAAACCCAGGAGCTTGGCATGGTAGTTCACATCTATAATCCTAGCAATCAGGAGGCTAAGGCAAGAGGAGCATGGGAGTTCAAGGCCAGCCTGGAGCTACATAGTGAGTTCAATGCCAACTTGAATTACATAGCTAGACCATGTCTCAACCCACACACGATGGCGAAGCCCAACCGACCTCCAAGGCTGCTTGACAAAGTTCCAGCTTGGGGAAAAGAAGGGTGGAACACATCGTACCCTCATGTTTTATTTTTTTCATGCCATAATGTTTAAAATTGTTACTCTGGTCACAGGAATCATTGTGTTTGTGACTAACAAACTCTCCATAAGGCAAATTGGCAATGATGTATTGAAATCTGATCTGGCTCAAAAGTCCCAAAATTCCAGTTTCTCTTAGTTCTATTGCCACATCCACTTCTAAAGAAACCTCTCCTGAAACTCCCTCTGTTTTCCCACTACTATAACTCACCCCTCTTATTGCTGACCTTCTTATTACTAAAGGGGTCTTATGAAGAGGTTGATAGGACAGACTTTAGATGTAAGAAATAGTGGGAAATAAGAAATAGAAAGTTGGGACAGGTAAATACATTAAGGAGGCAAGTTATTCAATATTTCTCACAGTGCTGAAAATATCTCCTGCTCATGAACTATGAACCCAAAAGACAGTTAGTTAAGATAAATAGAGGTATAGAGAGGTAGAGAGCTAATAACAAACTATATTAACCATTGTGCAGTTTCTCAAGGGCCAGCTGGTGACCACAAGTTTGACACTTAGTTGATTAAATCTTGCTTGTATCCCCGCTGATATAAAGATTTTGATTAAGTTACTTTCTGTTCTGTTTAGGTGTGGGTAAATAAGGGGACAATTGTAATTTTTAAATATGTATTCGTGACGTTCAATGAAATGAAACAGCTTAGAGGAATTGTACTTTGTTTAGCAAAAAATAACCTTTACTTCCATAGAAATTGCTAAGGCAATCTAAAATGTAAACATGTTCTGCCCAATGCCTCCTAGCTATTGCTTAAAGATATAAAAATAAATCAGACCCTGAGACTTATCAGAGGGAACCTGAACATTGCTTGCGACGGTTCTTTTCTCACTCGCCGGCCCGAGACCTCTCCCCTTCCTACCCTACATCGACTGCAGCTGGTCTGTGGCAACACACACAAATGCAGTAAAGGAAAACTAATAGCACAAAGAGCCCAGAGGAAATCTGGGCAGCTGTTCAGAGAGAAAGAGGGATTCCTGAGCTGAATATTGAATAATTAGTAGATATTAATAAAGCAGTAAATCCATACTCTCAATCCTCTTAAACTCAGGCTATTTTAGCTTATTAAAACAGGCATCCCCGGCACCTGCTTCATAAGCACAAGGTCCAGAGTTCAATCTCTGGTACCAAAACAAAAAACAAACAAACAAACAAAAAAACAGTCATCCTCCTTTAAAAACTAAGCCAAAGTAAAATTTAACTTTCGATTTCTAGGGGGCCATGGACAGTGCTCAGTGAAAAGTAACGTAGCTGTACATGAATGATCCGCCCTAGATCAGTGGTGGCGAACCTATGGCATGCATGCTGCAGGAGGCTGTTGTATCACTGAAAGCTCTAAAAGGTTCCCATCACTGCCCTAGGTGGAGGCAGAGTGACTGGAAGAACCAGGACCATGTAATATGCCTTTCCTGTATCATTCTATGTCCATGCCTGCTTTTCCAAACCTCAAAGAGAGAAGGCTGTCAGTGTCCTCAGACTTGTGCAGCTGCTGTTCTCTTCTGCATTTCTGCGGGGCTGGCACAGATTT